GTTATTGACATTGAGCATACATTTTTTTAAATACCTTCGCGAAGTAAAACTTCTGTACGTAGTACTTATTATTATTCTGTGGTAATACATTCTACTTTATGAACTAGGAAATAAGCATGTTTTTTTGCAGCCTTCAAGAATTTATCTATCTCGATACGCCGCAAAGTGAACGCAGAGTTATAGCTGGCTGGATTCACACTGGACGATTCACCGTGTTCCGCGTGCGCGAGGCACTTGTTTCAATCAAACCGAAACGTTCTGTCTACGTCCGCGATGGCGTGCACAGTGACGATCAGACGTCGTGGATGAATTGGTAGCAATGATTTCATATCATAGCATCCTGTTATTGGCTGCGGCGATCGATGCAGCGTATATGCACGCATCGTTCGACGATCTAGTAGCCTTATTCACGTAACAAAACTTCAAACGCAACAAAACTGAGTTGCGATCCTATCGAGTAATCGTTCTGTCGAAAATGACTCTTGTGAAAACGAATTTAGAAATGTTTTTCAATGAGAAGACTTCTGAATGTCAGCGAGATGTTGACTGTCAAAGTACGTCACGTGAATTAGGCCACTGATTGCGCTTGTTATTTTGACGTTTCCGATTTAAAAATGGCGGATTTTTTTCATGAAGAACGTCTGGAACTCGAACGTGTTGTGAACAATTTTAGCACGTGCAGTGGTCCACACCCTTCATGCTATTGCAGACGCAGGCTGAACGCCCTGGTTTGGCTGAATCTTAGGCATCCTAAGTAGACGTGCACCCGTGGACATGGTGTGATCCCGACTTGTAATGGTTCCGCTGTCACGATTTAGCGTGTGGCGTGCCTCTGGTGTTTATCTAAAGCCCGGTCTGTGAGCACGTAGAATTTTGTCCAATGACCCCTAACTTCCTTATCGCTCGCGCGTAATTATATTGCTGTCGCGACTGTGCGACTGGCACCCGCAGTGAGTGTGCGAGCGCGATAGCAACTTAATTACGCTCGAGCGATAAGGATGGGTAGTTTGGGGTCATTGGACAAAATTCTACGTGCTCACAGACCAGACTATAGTATTCTTCTGTGGACGTTTGAATAGTTCAACAGCTGTATTTGCCTTCCCAGGCGGCACAGTCCCAGCGGTTTTACCTCGGGGGCTGGAAGCGGGCGAGGCGCGGCGGCCGCACAACCGCGCCTCGCTGGCCGAGCTGTTCCTGCACATGCTGCGCTACTACGCGGACTTCCCGTGAGTACCACAATGACGTCATATCGTCTGAGGTGGAATTGTGTAAAGAAATCGTTATCATTTGACAGTTCATAACGTACGATAAAGTCAGTTAAACAAAGCGTTTGACAGAATAATCGTACGTTATGAACTGTCAAATGATTACGATTGCTTTACACAATTCCACCTCTGGTCAGTACCTCCATTGCAGAAACATGATATAAGCCTCCTACCCATTTCAATGAGAGCTAACGTTTTTATAGATGTCCGACACTGAATCGTCCTAGCTGTGACATTGACAGGAAGGCGTTACTGTCAATACTGGGTTATAGATGACCCACGCTGAACTGTCCCACCAAACTCAATGATAGGAGGGCGCTACCATCGTTCTACTATGTGGTTTCCAACATGGAAAAAATCGGAACCAGCGATCCGGTATCAATTCAGTATATTGAAATTATATTAGTTCTGATTTTTGCCACTTGATGTTTCAAAATTAAACAACTGTAGATGAACTACAACGAACTATCCCACCCGTGACATTGACAGGGGGCGCCACCGTCAATACTGGATGGCTGGTTCCGATTTTTGCCACGTTGGAAACCGTCCGTCTTCCCACCGCTTCACCGCTCACGAGTTCGCGCCACTGTCTAATGATAATATCTTTTTTTTTTCTATTTATTAATTTAGGGACTTTGTCTAATGATAATATCATTACATATTATGTTCTACATTTTTCTACATTACATAATTACGCGCGAGCGATAAGGATGGGTAGCTTGGGGTCATTGGACAAAATTCTACGTGCTCACGGACCAGGCTATAGATCTTAAGGTGTCATGTGTGTCATGGGAAATATTGGCCGATGCCACATAGGTGCCACCACATAGTTGTAATGTGCTTGCATTGTGAACCTTATCGTCCAGTATTAAGGTGATTTGTGTGTCTTGGCAGACATTGGCATCATGGTTGAACATTATGAACTTTATCGCCTAGCCTTACTGTTAAGATTACGATAAAATGTATTTGCGCTTTTCGTAGCGCCACCCCCGCGCGGAACTAAGTTCCAATTTTCGTTAATAGATGGCGTTGACCGTAATTGACTCGCGCTAACATTTGATTTTTTTGGACTTTATACGGTGTTTTGCATAACTGGTTTAATAAAGTTTTATCAGCCTACGGAAGTTGTATTGTTTAGTCATGTGATGTGAAGTGTGTGAACATTGCTAACCTAACCTAACCTGCTCTCAAAAGTTAATCTAAACGTTCCCTATAAGTTGCCTATGTACGGTTTGTACGCTCTTGAGTGATATGTTGCTGATAGAAGAGAGGAATGAGAGTCTGATATGGATATATGGATATCCCGATACAACTTGTTTGCGACCAGGAGCTCCAAATCAAATCTAGGTCTGTTTTCCCCTTTAAATAGAATGTTTAATCAATACAATGCCCTGTCTAGGTCCAATAATGTTTATGTTGATATTTTTTTCCTTAGTTTACGTAAATACAAGTCCACATGCTTGGACAAATCTCACCGGTATGTCATCAATCGGTAACAAACCGGTATACATCAATTGAACAAGCATAGGGAGTATAGAATGTAACTTGTGTCAGGTACGGCGCGATGGCGGTGAGCGTGCGAGCGGGCGCGCGCGTGCCGGTGGCGGAGTGCCGCGCGGCGCGCGCGCACAAGAACGACCCGCACCAGTGGAAGCTGCTGTGCGTCGAGGGTGAGGCTTTTGTACTCTTGTTTCAGCCAGGCTAGGATGCGTGCCGTGAAAACGACCAGTGGAAGCTGCTGTGCGTCGAGGGTAAGCCACGCACTGCGTTATTGTCTCAGCAGGGCTAGGATGCGTGCCGTGAAAACGATATTTATTATCGATCAGTGGCCGCCCGCGACTTCGTACGCGTGGATCTCGTTTTACCCCCTTAGGGGTGGGATTTCGTAAAATCCTTTCTTAGCGTATGCCTACGTCATAACATCTACCTGCATGCCAAATTTCAGCCTGATCCGTCCAGTGGTTTGGGCTGTGCGTTGAGATCACTATGTCAGTCAGTCGGTCACATATACAGGGTGTTAGGTAAATGGGTATATGAGCCGACACTAGCCCATGTTAACATGGGCATATAAATGGTATGGTGAAGCCAGAAATTTGATATCATTTTATTTTTTTTAATTTTCATACAAAATCTGGGGGCACGGCAGTGCCCCCGCCAAGTCGAGCGCGAAGCAAACATTGCCGTACCATCTTTACTGGAACCATTTCGCCGCATTTTCAGGCCCCTATTTGAGAACCTCTGCATAAGACCAGAACGCAGAAATTTTCGTCATCTAGTAAGCTATAATCACATACTTAAAATCCAAAATTTCAAGTCTGTAGGTCATTTAATTCCGAAGTTAAGCGAAAGCAAAGTTTCGCATTTATGACACTCACTCACTCACTCACTGATGATCATCAAAATAGAACTAGTACTTCCCATAAACTCAGAGAGCTGAAATTTGGTACAGAGTTAGGGTTCAATGGCCACATAAAGGGAAAACTATAAAAACTAGGAAAATCGAAGATCTGGAGTAACACCACATTCATAATTTTTGCCATTATTATTTTTGGCATAACCCACGATATTGGACTTCGGTCAGTAGAATTTCCTTAAATCGAGGAGATAACTGATATCGCACTGACAACTCGGATATTTTAGGTTGTTACACTAGACTTCACATAAATAAGCACTTCGGAATCACATGTTGATAAGATTCTACGTGAGACACTTTATTTTTGAGTATCGGATATCTTTACAAGTCAACTACATTTTACGTTAAAACCACCGCTAGTAGACTTTACTTCGCATATACAGGGTGTTTGGTAAATGGGTATATGAGCCGACACTAGCCCATGTTAACATATGCATATAAATGGTATGATGAAGTAAGAAATTTGATATCATCATTTTAATTTTTTTAATTTTCATACAAAATAAATTTTATAAAATCCGATTTGTATGAAAATTAAAATAATGAAAATGAAGATATCAAATTTCTGACTTCACCATACCATTTATATGCCCATGTTAACATGGGCTAGTGTCGGCTCATATACCCATTTACCTAACACCCTGTATTTAAATTTTAGATGTCAAAGCCCCCTTGGNTCGCTTCTTATTCACCATCGGCAGTAGACCAAATAGACCTGCACAACCTGAATAAGTCCTAAGCACCATAAACATAAAGTTGTGTTCGCAGTGGACTGGCGCGTGCGGCCGCTGGTGGCGCTGACGAAGCTGTGGGCGCAGGCGCACGACATCAACGACGCGCGCCAGCGAACGCTCTCCTCCTACTCGCTCACGCTCATGGTCATACACTTCCTGCAGTGTGAGTATTAATACATTTTACTTAGTGAACTAGGAAATAAGCATGTTTTTTGCAGCTTTCAAGAAATAGACATGTTGACACCACCAATCAATTGACGTACTAACTACTACTACTAAATAAACTACTTTTTTCAATTACAATGCGACCAAAAATCGTAATTTACAGGTAATTTAAAATTAATTAAGTTTTTAAGACCAGAATGAAGTGTCTTTTTAGAAAAGTTGTAATTTAGAATTATTGGAGAATGGTGTCAAACTGTCCATTATCTATCTCGATACGTCGCAAAGTGAACGCAGAATTATAGCTGGCTGGATTCACACTGGACGATTCACCGTGTTCCGCGTGCGCGAGGCACTTGTTTCAGTTAAACCGAAGCGTTCTGTCTACGTCCGCGATGGCGTGCACAGTGACGATCTGACGTGTATGAATTGGTAGCAATGATTTCACATCAAAGTATCCCGTTATTGGCCGCGGCGATCGATGCAGCGTTCGACGATCAGTAGCCTTATTCACGTAACAAAACTTCAAACGCAACAAAACTGAGTTGCGATCCTATCGAGTAATCATCATCATCATCATCATTTCAGCCACAGGACGTCCACTGCTGAACATAGGCCTCCCCCAATGCTTTCCATGTTGATCGATTGGTAGCGGCCTGCGTCCAGCGCTTCCCTGCTACCTTTACGATGTCGTCGGTCCACCTTGTAGGTGGACGTCCCACGCTGCGTTTTCCGGTACGCGGCCTCCATTCCAGAACCTTTCTGCCCCATCGGCCGTCAGTTCTGCGTACTATGTGCCCTGCCCATTGCCACTTCAGCTTGCTAATACGTCGGGCTATGTCAGCGACTTTGGTTCGTTTAATCGAGTAATCGTTCTGTCGAAAATGACTTGTGAAAACGAATTTAGAAATGTTTTTCAATGAGATGACTTCTGAATGTCAGCGAGATGTTGACTATCAAAGTACGTGAATTAGGCCACTGATTGCGCTTGTTATTTTGACGTTTCTGATTTGAAAATGGCGGATTTTTTTCATGAAGAACGTCTGGAACGCGAACGTGTTGTGAACAATTTTAGCACGTGCAGTGGTCCACACCCTTCATGCTATTGCAGACGCAGGCTGAACGCCCTGGTTTGGCTGAATCTTAGGCATCCTAAGTAGACGTGCACCCGTGGACATGGTGTGATCTCGACTTGTAATGGTTCCGCTGTCACTAAATTTTATGTATTTGTGTAAAGCCCGGTCTGTGAACACGTAGAATTTTGTCCAATGACCCCTAACTAACCATCCTTATCGCTCGCGCGCTATATTGCTGTCGCGACTGTGCGACTGGCACCCGCAGTGAGTGTGCGAGCCCGATAGCAACTTAATTACGCGCGAGCGATAAGGATGGGTAGTTTGGGGTCATTGGACAAAATTCTACGTGCTCACAGACCAGACTATAGTATTCTTCTGTGGACGTTTGAATAGTTCAACAGCTGTATTTATCTTCCCAGGCGGCACAGTCCCAGCGGTTTTACCTCGGGGGCTGGAGGCGGGCGAGGCGCGGCGGCCGCACAACCGCGCCTCGCTGGCCGAGCTGTTCCTGCACATGCTGCGCTACTACGCGGACTTCCCGTGAGTACCACATATGACGTCATATCATCAGGTCCCTACTTCCTATTGCAGAAACATGATATAATCCTCCTACCCCTTTCAATGAGGGCTATCGTTTTTATAGATATCCGACACTGAATCGTCCCAGCTTATTAAGCCATAACATTGACAGGAAAACACTACTATCCATAGCTGGGCATTAACTCGTTAATCCGTTAATCGTTAATTAACGAAGTTAACATTTCTATTAACGGATTAACTTTTAAGTTAACTTTAAAAAATGTTAACGGACTCGTTAACTTCCGTTAAATTATCCTAAGTCCGTTAATCGTTAATCCAGTACCTATTATTTACCAAAAAGATACAGCAGGCACGCTGAAAAACGCTAGAAAAACGCGTTCTGACAAGTACGTTTGGGCTTCCAGAACTTCCAGAACCCAAAACAACAGTTTTTGTAACCAGATCACTAACGACACTTGTTATTATGTGTGGAACTCAGATCATAGAAAGAAATCCCTTTCTATGATCTGAGGTGTGGAACAACTCTTGCAACTGAATTTAAGACCAGTTTTCCTCAACCGATTGAGCTGAAATTTGGTATACTTATGTAAGTACGATGACAATGCAATGCTATGGTACCATTGAGCTGGTCTGATGATGGAGTCATGAGGTGGCCATAGGAACTCCTAAATGAAACGGCGGCATCGCATCGAATTTGGGTTCGTTGAATTTGTCTTTTCGAGCACTTTAGTACGAGATAATGTCCAGGGTCCTGATGATGGAGTCAGGAGGTGGCCATAGGAATTCCTAAACGAAACGGTGGAAACTTATCGAGTTTGGGTTTGCTGGATTTGTCTTTTCGAGCACTTTGGTGCTAAATTGTATTGTAATAGGGATGTTTCCTGGGTAAAAAAGCAAGAGTTTTAATTAGTCCGTCAGTTAGCTTATCAAAACTACTCGACACGTATTTTTAACTTTTTAAAACTAATGAAAATTTAAAGAGATAAAGCGTGCCAAAGTTCTAAAGTAAAGGCCCGTGACGTCAGTGAGTGCGTAAAAGTGCAGCACTTCGTAACGTCGCGCGGAACTTCAACGTCTTCAACGCCCTATAACTTTGTAATTATTTGTTAGATTGACAATTCAAAATATATACGTGTCCAATATATTTTTATATGAAAATTGACGGACTAAAAAAATTTTTTTAGGAAACTAGCCTATTGTACCAAGGCCTGAGGCTCTGAGATTGAGATACAACTAAAAAGTGTAAAATAAAATTATAATAATTAAAAAACTTTTTTAAAAACAAGCTTTTATTCTGAAATGCAGTTGTACTAAAACAAATAAATAATTGTACTTATTCAAGCCTAGGTTCAAATAATTTCGAAAGCTTGTAGCACAAACATAAAAGAGGAATAAATTCCATGCGCGATACAAGCTTTCGAAATTATTTGAACCTTGCATACAATCATTTTTTTCGTTTTATCATGTGTTAACGGATTAACGATTAACGTTAACTTGCGTTAAATCTTTCGAAATGTAACGGTTTAACGTTTAACGAAGTTAATTTTTTTATTAACGGTTTAACGATTAACGAAGTTAACTATTTGATTAACGGTGCCCAGCTATGCTACTATCAATACTGGATTATTAGTATTGATTTTTGCCACTTGACGTTTCAAAATCGTTCAACTCTAAGCTTGTGTTGTCACTGACGAATGACAGGACTTAACTAAACAGTGGTGCCATCCTGGCTAGTTCAAACGATAATCTTCCAAAGTCCAGTTAGGTAGGTCCAACTTCGAGAAAGAGGTCAATCGTCGAATCCAATTCGGTTGGGAAGCTTCGCGATATTCTCACGTTCGAAATACCGCAGTGTCTCAAGTCAAAAGTCTGACCAGTGTGTGTTGCCAGTGATTGTATACGGATCTGAGACGTGGTCGCTTACTATGGGCCTCATAAGAAGGCTCAAGGTCACCCAAAGGGCGATGGAGCGTGCTATGCTCGGAGTTTCCCTGCGTGATCGAATCAGAAATGAGGAGATCCGTAGGAGAACCAGAGTGACTGACATAGCTCGCAGAATCGCTAAAATCAAAGGGCAGTGGGCGGGGCACATAGCTCGGAGAGCTGACGGCCGCTGGGGCAGGAAAGTTCTTGAGTGGCGACCACGAGCCGGAAGACGTAGCGTGGGCAGGCCTCCCACTAGGTGGACCGATGATCTGGTGAAGGTCGCGGGAGGCGCCTGGATGCAAGCGGCGCAGGACCGGTCTTTGTGGAAATCCTTGGGGGAGGCCTTTGTCCAGCAGTGGACATCTTTCGGCTGAAACGAACGAATGAATGAAATAATGAATCTTCCAAACACTTCAGTGCTCACCACTTGGCGCCACTGTCTTAGCCACTAATGATATGTTCTACAGTGGCAGCACTGATGAGGGTAAATACTATAGCTTTCATTTGCCAATTGCCAGCAGACGGGTTCCAATGTAATATTCAAAGTTTAAAAAAGATCGTCTAATTTAACCCTGGAATTATACACTCAACATCAAATAAACCGCACCTTCCGCGACGCGAACTTTAAAGATTTTCTTCTGACACAATTATGGTACCCCAACAATATTGGTGTTATTTGAAAGCCCAATAAATATCCTTAAAGAAATATACATTTCATTTCTAAATAAATGATTAACATATACCATAAATGTGACTTGAAAATAGACCTCACTTTGGGCTCACCTCTGGGATCAATTAGACCAATTTTTATGGTTATAAAACCAAATAAAGATCTCACGTGTCCTCTTTAACAGATGGATAGCGATTAATCCCAACTTAACAGTTTTATAGTCATAAAAAATGGCTATAGCGTAACTACCTATTTTTATCCCGTTTTACCCCCTTAGGGGTGGGATTTCGTAAAATCCTTTCTTAGCGTATGCCTACGTCATAACATCTACCTGCATGCCAAATTTCAGCCTGATCCGTCCAGTGGTTTGGGCTGTGCGTTGAGATCACTATGTCAGTCAGTCGGTCACATATACAGGGTGTTAGGTAAATGGGTATATGAGCCGACACTAGCCCATGTTAACATGGGCATATAAATGGTATGGTGAAGCCAGAAATTTGATATCATTTTAATTTTTTTAATTTTCATACAAAATAAATTTTATAAAATCCGATTTGTATGAAAATTAAAATAATGAAAATGAAGATATCAAATGTNTCCTCTTTAACAGATGGATAGCGATTAATCCCAACTTAACAGTTTTATAGTCATAAAAAATGGCTATAGCGTAACTACCTATTTTTGAAGAAGTGACTCTGGATCCTTGTAAAGACACATTTTTGGGGTAAAAACCTTTCCTTTAATGAAATGAAGTTTAGAACTAGGCTTTCAAATGGTACCAACGTTGGTGGGAAGTGGGGATGCATACGTTTGATAAGTGCTTGTCGCGGGAGGTGCGATTTATTTGATGCCGAGTGTAGTTGCTATCCCATTGTGAGCCTTACCCCCTAATCTGTCGGTATATATTGTCAGGTACGGCGCGATGGCGGTGAGCGTGCGAGCGGGCGCGCGCGTGCCCGTGGCGGAGTGCCGCGCGGCGCGCGCGCACAAGAACGACCCGCACCAGTGGAAGCTGCTGTGCGTCGAGGGTGAGCCGCGCACTGCGTTATTGTCTTAACAGGGCTAGGATGCGTGCCGTGAAAACGATATTTATTATCGATCACTAGTGGCCGCCCGCGACTTCGTACGCGTTAATCCCGTTTTACCCCCTTAGGGGTGGGATTTCGTAAAATCCTTTCTTAGCGGATGCCTACGTCATAACATCTACCTGCATGCCAAATTTCAGCCTGATCCGTCCAGTGGAAGCTGCTGTGCGTCGAGGGTGAGGCACTTGTATTATTGTTTCAGCCAGGCTAGGATGCGTGCCGTGAAAATGATATTTATTATCGATCACTAGGGGCCATCCATAAAGTACGTCACACGAATTTCATGATTTTTTGACCCCCCCCTCCGTCCTTGTCACAGGTGGTCACATTTCTGAGACCCCCCCCCCCCTCCCTAGTATGACGTCACATGTTTTGCAATTTCACATCGAAAAATTATTAAATTAACAGCAGTTCCGAAATTACTTTTAATTCCATNAAAGGGGGCTTATCGCGTAAAATCGATAAAATGGAACGATAAACTTTTATTCTGGCACGCATCTTAGACCTACAGAACTACTTGCTTGAAGGAGATAAACGTTTCTGTGAGCAACATTCGTTTTAAATTTTAAGATATTAACTAAAAATTTTTGCCTTTCTAATTCTTACTAAAGAGTAAGAAATGAAACATTAGTGGTTGTAGAAATATCGCGGTATAAAGACTAAAATTAGAACGAAAACGATGAGCGAATTAGTTGAGACGGGAGATCAAAAAGTTGATAAAAAATGACATCGAAATTCCACAGAACCGTTCGATCTCACGAACACGGCGCGGTCCGTGTACGACCCGGAGACGTTCGAGAAGATCGTCAACACCTTCCGCGACAGCTACACGCGCCTCGCCAGCGGCCTGCGCCTCGCCGACGCCTGGCCGCAGCCGTCACAACAGTCACAGCAGACGTCACAACAGTCACAGCAGACGTCACAGCAGCCGCGATGACGCGCGCCGCCCGCCCGCGGCCTGTGACGCGGCGCTTGTGTCAGTGCGAACTTTGAACTCGGCGCGAGCGATCGCCCGAGCCGTTGTGTTTATTTATTGTTTCGTTTATGTTTCGTTGGATCCTAGTGCGTCACCGGGCCGCCGCGGTGCGACCCCTCGGCCNGCGCGCCGCCCGCCCGCGGCCTGTGACGCGGCGCTTGTGTCAGTGCGAACTTTGAACTCGGCGCGAGCGATCGCCCGAGCCGTTGTGTTTATTTATTGTTTCGTTTATGTTTCGTTGGATCCTAGTGCGTCACCGGGCAGCCTGGTAGTTCTAGTCGCCAGCTCACCGATCGACTCGAGCCCGGCGCGGGTTCCGTCGATCCGGGGCGAGCCGATCGCTAGTCGTTATATTTATCGCTAGATGCTATTCGGAATTGCGTCCATTCGTCCTCGGCCGGCCCCCGGTGCGGTTCCGCGGCGGCCGGGAAACGCCGCGATGGTGTATTCTCGTCGCTCGTATAGTGTCGGCCCCGGTCGACCGCTCGGCACGCGGGCGAGCCGTTCGGACGACGAGTCGGGTGCATTTATTTTGTGAGCCGTTTACGAGAGCGGTGTTCCGCCGCGAGTGGATCTCGGGCGACGCTCGCCGTCCGGACGGGCCGCGTGCCTCGACCCCGGCCCGCCGGCCGCCGCGGTCCCGGCCCGGGCGCCCGCGAGGCTCCGGCGTCGGGCGCGGGCGCCCGGGCCGACCCATTGTTACTCCGTTGAAATTTTATTTAGGTGTAAAACGGTGCCACTATGAAAATTATATGTTTACATTCCATAGTGTCGTACCGAGTCGTCGTTTAGCTCGTACTCTAGGCTAGCGGTTATCGAGTAGTTTCGTTCGCGCGGCCTCGCGGGCCCGGCCCGGCGCGCCCGGCGTCGTCTTCCCGCATACAAATATTTAGTCGTTAGCGATCAGAGGAGCGACGCGTTGTGTCGGCGACGCGCGCTCGAAATATACCAAATACACTTCCAATGATTGCGGTCGAAGGCGGCCCCGGGCGCGCCGGGCCCACAGCGAGGGCCTCACAGGCCGGCCCGCCGAGGCCGCGGAGCCCGCGGGCCAGGCCCGCGTCCGGAACCAACAAGACTGATCGACTTCGCGGTTAGTACTAGGTGAGATAGTTAAGGACAGATTGATACTCGAACGTTCCTCTCGAGCCGTGCATCGAAATATTACTATAACGTTGTCGTTTTGTTATTCGTCGTCGAGTCCGTCGGCAGGCGGCGCGCCGAACGCTGCCTCGCGAACGCGTCCCGCTCGTTTTTAATGTTTATATTGTTTATTTGTAAGTTATTTAATGAATATGTATATAATAAGAATGAAAGAGAAAAACACATAAATATTGGAATGTTTTAGGGTCGTGTACGTTTTATGTAAATAGTATTTTTGTGAGTAAATGACAAAAAAAATATATAATGGATAGATGAAGTGAGTGTGTGTTGTTGCGATGTTGGCCGCATTAGCCCACCGGCCGCGGGCCCGTGGGACCTCGCCCGCCGGCGGGCGAGTTTGATCCGCCGGCGGGCGAGTCTCGGTCGCCTTTTTGGTCGCGGCCGCACCGAGTTGTTTCGCGTTTCTTTGATAGCTTGGATGCTACGATTTAAGGTGCTACTAGATATCGCTGAACGTTTTGCGGCTCGAAACGAATCCAAGCGTTTGCAGAAACTCGAGGAGATCACGAAATGGTGCTAAATATTGTGTTGCCTTAACTCTGAGCGTCGCTTGCTGTGCTAAATTGTAGGTATACTTATACTGTATCGAATACCTGAGCAAGTCACGGATCTCCAGAATTCCTATAGGAAAGTGAGGCAATAAATAAACAAGCATATCTTTAAATATTATAAAGATTGTATAATTGTTATCTTCACCGAATTGTAGGGATTCTGATTTATATGTTGTAGTCGGATATAGAAAAAATATATTTCATTAATATTCTAACAAATTTTTAAGTTAGACTGCAGTATTGTAATGAACTAGGTGGTGTTTTTATTCTAAATTTACTTATTTCCGCAACATGAACTGCAAATTATTTTACTCAAAACCAATGAAGCATGCAGCCGTCGTACGACGGCCAGCCAGCCCCTAGTCCTCAGTTCGCTAATGTGTAGTAGTCGCGCGGCATCGCTCCAATATGTTTTCCGCGATGCTCGTTTTTGTTAAGTTTAACTCGCATTATTAGAACGGAATTGTTGTCTGTTGTATTAATTTTAACCGAACAAATCGCGATGTCAACGTCTCTTTGTTAGCTTCAAACACATTATTGACCGTTTATATTATGATGTAAAACGCCTGGCACTTTTATAAGCATTATGTATAAGTTTTATATCGATTTTACATAAGAGGCACTCGGCCGCGCTGAATAATAAAGTACAATAAATAATTTTTAAAAGTTATCTATAAGAAAACTTATTAGAATAATAATAAATAAAAGTGTCTCAAAAACCCTTTAATTTTCGAAAAAGATATAAAAACTTAACGAAGCCGACACCAAAAAAAATTAAATTAAAAAAGCCAAAAAAAAATATAAAAATTAAAAACCAAAAAAAATACAAAATTTTCCAAAAAAAAAATCTGAAAAAATCATTTTTACTTTGACATCGACCAAAGTCTTATCGCATGTTCCTTTTTTATTGTGTGTAACTTTTTGATCGGGCGCCCACCTGCCCCGCGCGACGTTCCCGCCGTCTCTTCCCGGCTCCGCCGCCGGCCGGTGGCGCCGCCGGGAAAGACTCGCTCGGTAGTCCCCGTCTCCCGGGAACATTCATGCACGCGCCCCACCGCCAAATACAGTTCCTCGTTTGACTGTACAAATTCTGGCAACCAGCAGAGCACCTCCTTTTAACGTATTTTTTTCGCTGTTTTATAGACACCACATATCTAATAAATTAATTTAAAATTTTAGCTGGTTTGCTGTAATCATTTTAACGGTGCAAAATTCGCAGTATTTTGTTGTAGGCAGTGTAATATAATTTTTATTCAGCTAGTGTGTCGACTGCCATAATAAGGGTTGGTACTCACTCAGCGATGCCTCCTCCTCGCAACTGAAGTGGCGTCGTACCGTTTTGTTTGCGGGCCCGTCACGTGCAGGCGGGCCGGTGAGGCCGCCCGGGCGGCTGTCACCGACCCATTTCGCTGAGCACCCTGTATCAAATGAATCACTGCCAACTTGGGACTGTTCATACAGTTTGTAAACTAAATTTAAATCACATTAGCGTGTCTAAATTGTTTGGAGTTTGTCATTTCTATAATGTTATCCTAACATTAAATGCAAAAATTTATTGTACTTAAACATTTGCTGTTCAAATAAATAAAATGCAAACCCATTTGAATCGTTCATGTAATTTAAAAGATAAATTTAAGCGTGCGATGTTCTTATCCCTGTGTATTTACTTGTATATTATTAACAATAGGTACCTGTAATATAATAATTGTCTAAACGCCTGCAAACGGTGTCCCTCTTATTACTTTTATGTTTTGTAAAGTTATTTTCGTCGAGTTTTTGACAAGTTTTCACTTGTGTTGCATTTTATTTTATTGAACACAAGAAGTTTTTATCGTCATTGTTGTACAAAAAATTATTGTAAAGAAAGTATAGTTAAAATATATACAAACTGCCAAAAATGAGTTATTATTTACCACACGTTATTCCCTCCTCTTGAATTATTTATTATTGTTAGGTTTTAGACCCAGCCGATTTTTTGGTTACTCTGTTTGTTATTTTACTCCGGCATGTATTTAAATGATCTTTTTAAATTAGCGAAAACGGCAAATAAAAAAATCTAAATGGTCATCTATTTTAATGATTGATCCTCTTTCTTTGAGACATAAAATAAATGAAATCGATCGATATTTTAACCTCTTTTGAACTACGCAAAACAAAATGTGAGATGTAAAAATTATATCTGATCGTTACTTGTTGGTCCTCAAAAATAAAAGAAATGAGCACCAAATATTCAATATTGTGATACTTTTTTAAATAATTCGATTTGTACAAATTATTTTTTATCTATATCAAATAATCTTCAAAATAATTATGTTATGGTACTTATTTTTATTAAGTTGTAGTCAAAGGATGGAAACTATTTAAAGGTACTTGATGTTCAAAGTTTTTTTTTATTAAAAAAGCATACTTAACACGTTCACACTGCGTTATCGGGTCGAATTGACCTTAGGTGCTGGATGCGTTGGTGCGTGCGGGATGGACATATTAGGTCTTTTCAGTAGTACGAAAGAAAAATATTGTTTTGCAATTGTTCGTCAAACACAGTAAATATTTGGAAAAAAAAAAACTTACCTGATTTAATAAGTTACCTTACGACCCGATGTCGCACTAAAAGTAAACAAATATCGTTTAGTGCTTTTATCGGGTCTAATCGACCCGTTGACAGATGACTTTATGGTCACTGATCACGGTCGAGATCGGTATAATAAGAGAAAATCAACCTTGCGATTTGAAAAAAATAAAGAGGTAAAAATTATGATGTCGGGTTCAGGGATGTCAGAAGTAAGAAATTATTTTACATAGCGCCTCTAGTCCCACACTAAGCAAAGCTTGTAATTTAAAAAAACCATTCTGCTTGCTTAATGGCCGCTAAGCCCTTGGCCAACTCAGTAACCAATGACGGACGATTGTCACTCAACCACAAAGTACCGCGCAAATTAAAAGATATTTTTTAATTAAAAATATTAACCAATAATATTTTTTGTTAGATCAAATATATTTTAAAGTTAAGTTATACATAGATCGAAATGTATTTATTAGGTGAACAATATTAAAAGGCAAACTTGATATAAAAATCATCAAATTAACAAAATTAAAGATCAATAACTAAAAAAGAGGATCAAATATTATTTTTGTTTACCAAATATTAAAAGAGTATGTTAAAAATAAATATTATGATACCTATAATGAAGATCATTCATAATTTATCCGTAGATCAACTAATATAGACCCAATAATTAATATAAAGATAAAATATAATAAAAAACATCATTTATTTTTAAAAGTGCACATACAAAAAAGATCAATTAGTTTTTAGAGGATCAAATAATATTGTCCCTTTTACTCCCTTTCAAGGATCTTGATGCCGGTCAACAGTTTTAGGATAGCGACATCTATTTAAAATACGAAAACTACTTACTAGTAAGCTATCGATATTGATTACCTATCGAAAGTCTTGATAGATGGCGCTGTTTAGCAATTACTTTGCTAGGTACCTATTTGTTTCACATTTTCTTTGATGCCAACAGTTTTAGGATAGCGACATCTATTTAAACTTACGGAAACTATTTACTACTTCCAAGCACGATAAAAAAGCCTTCGATATTGATTTTATCGATAGTCTCGGTAGATGGCGCTGTGCACTATCGACGAAACATGACGTGATAAGACAATCTAATAATTATTACCGATTTCGTGCTTATTCTTATCGATTAAAAGATTCGATTTGAAATATGTTAATCTGGATTATAAACAAGAATTCGTCCAGTAGTTTTTGCGTGAAAGAGTAACTAACAAACATCCAGACATCCACTAGGATACTAATAAAAACAAAAAATTATTTGTCAGTATCTTTATTGACATTTTCCAAAGTACACTTTACGATACAAAACAAAGATTTACCAATGTTTTAAAGAAACAATAATAATAAAACATTGCATTTCCGTGTCCGACATTTTTTTATTAATTTACAATATCTATCTAAGGGCAACAATTATATGTTATACCCATTCTAATGAAATATATTAGTTAATCACATCCACTTCAATTTCCCAATATCGTGGTGCGTACGACACGCGACGGCTCGATTCCGTCGTTGANGTTGAAGATTTGAAGTCTTCGCGCGGGGGGACACATTAACACGCCCAAATGCCTCGTAATTAATTATTCTCCTATGAAATAGTCAAAAATAATTTTTAGGGTTATTCTTTGAAAGTAGATAGAATTTATATCATCTACAACAACTTTCACTATGGGACAATAATGCACACGTGTATGAAAAATTACCACATCTATGGAAACTAAGCTAAACTACAGGCACATCACATAACTGTAAAGGTTCCTATGGTAGTGGGGCGGCGCGGGAGTGGTGACTTGTGACGTAAGAGTTGTCACGTCAAGTCTCGCCGACGTTTGACGTAGCAAATCCCGCGCCGCTCCACTGCCGCAGAAACCTCCGTTATTCAATCTACCTGTAACTCGCTACTTACACGACACACGGTTTGATACATTTTTAGGAGATTACGAGACATTCGTTTACATTTTATTTTCGAGTTTCCTTTGCAAATTTTGATTTAAATATAATTGGGAATATATTTATTAACTACTAGTTCAATATTCTAAATTCGCACAATCGGCAAATCTTTGTAACAGCAATTTTCAGTACAACACCGTACTTAACTTTGTCGAACAAGTTAAACGAAAAAAAAAAACAGTGATTGCTTTTACATCTCACTAATCAATTACTTGCACGCAAGAACAATATACCTATTGTAAATAGGTGATTTATCTGGGTCCGTGGCCGAGTCCCCCAGTGTTCGACGCACCCGTGGTCGACGCCCCTGATTTAAATTAATTTAATATCATATTTTTTTCGGCTTTTGCACTAAGTACAGTCAACGAAAACTAATGAAAAAATAATGATTTTGCATGTTACTGTTGTTATACTAAAAAGTAAAAGATGTGATTTAATTCCTATTAATTGTTATTTTTGTTATTATTACAAAAATTAAAATGTTATAATTTTTTGGTTATAAATACTTAAAACTTATATAATTTAAACTTTTATTTGTAATTAGTTAAATGTAGAGAGAGTAGAGTTATTTTAAAGACTGATAAAGGGTGTTTGGCTGAAGGTTAGACAAACTTCGTGGGTATTAAGATAGGGTAATTTTAAGCCCACGCCCATTTTTGTGCCTGACTGTACATTTATTAAAAATTGCTTCAAATCAAATTTCACTGACCGGGGGGCGTCGACCACGGGTGCGTCGAACACTGGGGGACTCGGCCACGCACCCATTTATCTACTCTCGTAAATATACAAACTTAATAGCTAAATAGAAAATATATATGGTATCGAAGGTAAAAATAAAATCGGATCGCGTAGCGGACGGCCGCGCGAGCGAGCCAAGAGGAACTAAACAAAGTCAAATACTGTTACCCTAATAATAGTTATAATAATAAAATGAAACTTACAAGCTCTAATTCCATTCGTCGTCCTATCTACGCCATTCTTCAGTACTCAGCCAGCTTTTATCCCTGTCTCACAATTCTCGCAACGTCTAACACTAAATTACATACAAGATAGAGAACCTAAAGATCTACCTAATTCGAAACTACAAATATCTCGGGACTAATTTTAGTATAATTTTGGACAGATCGTCTGCTCGAAAACCATCTATAAAGTCAGTGTGACCGAAAAATAACGTGTAAACGTTTTACACAAAATATAAATGTACTAAAATATCCGACAGATGACATCGTATTTTGCACTCGGTGTGAATAAATAGTGGTGTATGAGACCCGGCGGCAGCGGAGGCGGCGCGGGCGCTCGCTCGCCGCGTTACTTCTTGCCGCTTGAGTCCGTGGCGTCCATCTTTTCTTCCGTCTTCACCACTTTGCCTTCGCCTGGAAACAATGTTAGAACGTTTTAATGAATGAATAACACGCTCATAAGGTCGCTGTATAACTTTGGAAAATTACTGTAAGGTTAAGAACTCACGGCGCGATTTTCACCTGCGCCCGCGGCGGTTGTGGAATTGCAGTTTTATTTCAAACTCACGGGACCGGTTATTTGCGTGGTTATTCTAAGACTCACGGCGCTATTTTCACCCGCGCCCGCCGCGGCTGCGGGTGAAAATCGCACCGCGCGCGCTGCGGGTGAAAACCGCGTCGTGAGTTGTGCATTCGTTTTTACACACATTATCTGCATTGTACAGAAGCTGCGGGCCCGCAACCGCTGCGGGCGCGGGTAAAAATCGCGCCATGAGTTCTTAGCTTAAATTGGACCCTCTTATGTTATGTGTAATGCCTACCGTTGGGCGTATCGGGGTCGGGGTCGGTGTTGGAGCGGCGGCGCTTGCGCGGGAACTTCCAGCCGCCCGCCGCGTGCTTCAGCTTCGGCAGCGGCTCCATGTCCAGCACCTGAGAATAAACAATTATTTTACTTCTGCTGCTTTACTATTGCTAATACAAACAGTAACTTTGGCAGTGGCGTAATAATACCATCAAAGGCCCGTGACAAATTCATTGAGGGGGGGCCCTAGACCTTGACATGCCATGATACTGGCATTTGCCAGCTCTTATTTAGGGTAACACTCTGTAGTTACGCCACTCGCTGACGGATTTAACGTAGAATGTGCACTTCGTAAAATGAGAACTCGACTCGAACTAGTGTATGTATTCCGCATTAGGTCTGTGAAATTGGCCCCTTCTGATTACACTCATTAACAAACTCCACCTCTTTTTAGGACTAACATGACAATGAGGGTTTTCGCGAATGAAAGATCCGCTAGATGGCGGGACGTGGATGTGGGGTCTGACTGCTGCGTGATTGGTGGATTTTGATATATCTGTCAATGTCATGTCAAAAATAACCAATCATGCAGCATTTGGACCTCGCGTCTACGTATTGCCATCTGGCGGATTTTTCATACGCGAAAACCTTTTATTATCTTTCATCCTCCATTTTAAAAACAGTGATTAGAACCAATTTCTAATAAGAGAATCTATAAACAAACATACCTTGTGAATTTGCCTGAAAGCAATTTGTCTCAGGAATTGTTGCGCAGACGCAGTTAAGTCTTCACGCTTCTGTGGTGGCAAGTTACCAATAGCATCCTGAAAACGAACATGTACATTTTAGCTGCTGCTTAATGTCATAATTGAAATAGTTCGAATTTTAATTTAGACAAGGACCACCTTTTTTTAACCGTGGTTCAGGAATGAGGACCGGAATCATTAATAGAAACATCGCGAGGTCTAAGAACCTCAGTCAGTATTTATTTACGGACATAGGTATATCCCCACCGCTCGATTCAGTTATATTACTCCATCTTCGGCGTGGTACAGAGTACCGGGAGATAATCGATGGTAGTCAAAGTCAGGTTATAGTTACCGCAGCGGTTTCAGGAGTCTGGGTTTGGAATAAGGGGGAAACAACAGAGCTAGCATAGTACGACCCACGAGCTTTCCCTTCATTCTCGCAGGACTTTGGGAGTCAATGATTGGAAGAGGGTGAGTACGAATTAGGGTTTAACACTAACACAGAGCGGGTACAGGGTACATACCACGAGCTCCTTCTCGCAGGGGTCGCGCAGGCCGGGCCCGTGCTCCAGCAGCAGGCCGCCCGCCACGGCCTCCATGACGCGGCGCAGCGCCTCGCCCGCCGACAGCGCCGCGCCCGCAGACGACAGCACGCCCGCCACCAGCAGCTCCATCGCCTAAGGGACAGGACTGTTAGCCCGGCAATACACGGACCGCTTGAAGCAGTCAGGGTCAAAGTCAAATTTTCTTTATTTGTTTAGACTAATAAATAGTTCTTACAAATCGTCATTTTGCTCTTATGGAGCCTCTACATGTCTCATAATCTTTTTACCCTACCAGCGCTTCGAGACCAAGATTTGGCAAGTGCTGAGAAGAAGCGCCGCAACAAACTCAGTCACCACTGTCTACCGGTTAATATAAATAAATGGAAATAGCAGTAGTAAGGTACATCTGATTCAGGAGCAGTTTACTGAATTTACCATGCATTCTTGTATGGTGTATCTTATAAGAAGCTTCAACAGGTCGACAGCTTCAAGCTGCGACTGCACAGTGAACTGCAGAGTTCTATGGACGCACATACACGAACCGCTCGAGCAGTCAACTGATTCGGGCGGTCGACAGCACGGTGAATTTTCATCGTGCGGTCAAGCAGTCGCCAGCCATACACTGACTGCTCGAGCTGTCGACAGCTCTCGCGCAGTTACCTCCGCCCACTTTCTTCATTCCACGACGCGCGCGCTTGTGATTTGTTGAGCAGTTATCACTGGCAGCTTCAAGCTGTTGACTCTTAACTGCAAGAGCGGTCCGTGTATGTTGATCACTGACTAACTGCTCGAGCTGTCCGTGTATGGCGGGCCTTAGAGCGCTTTCATGTTTCATGCTATTCGATGCGTGCCTTCACATTATAAAACCTAATGTGAAGCGGTCTAAGAGCGCTTTCACGTTAGGAAGTTATTAGCGCGACAGCAGCGCAGCAGCGGCGTTATTATAATGTGAAGGCAGGCATCCGCTGTCACATAGTATGAAATTATTGGCAGCGCGTCTGTCGCGCTGCTAAAGTCGCCTAAATGTGAAAGCGCTCTTAGCACACGTCTTGGTGAAGCAGAGCCTTCATACAGGGTGACTGGGATTTGGACTAGTGTAGTGGTAAAATCCTACATCCCGCAATACAATATACGACATTAGTTTGAGACAAAACCTCTTCTAGTGACATTTTAAAGTCACACGCCAAATAGCGGTGTCAGTATTCCTGAAGATTCTTCAGTAAAAAAACAAATGCCAAAAAGACTAAGCACATCCTTGATTTAGCTATTTAAATTACATGAAAAATATTTTAAGATAATTTTATCGGAGAGTATGAGTATTGTCTTTAACAATGTTAGATCTGTCATTAATCTGGTATGGTCCCGCCATACCATATTGAAAAAAATAAAAATTAAGAGGAATAAATACAACTCGATCGAGCTAACTGCGCACATCTTTGGAATGCAATTCCCCCTCCTACTTACCCGCACACCTCCCAGAGCGTCTGTGACGTCATGGCGCACAGGTGCGCAGTTCACTCGATTGGGTTGTAAAGTTTAACCAGGCCTGGCTCACTCCGCGTGGTACATCCGATAATTACCTACAGCGAAGCGCCCCGCCGGCGGGTATTATATCAGTCGAGTGTCACGCGCTCGCCCGTCAGGACGCTGGCTTGCGTTTTAGTATGATTATAATTCTATGATCGAAGTATTATTTAAAAATGGACATAAAGAGAAAGAAATATTGTGCGGCGTTCGGGTGTTTAAATTCGAAAAGAAATTACCGGCTTTATCTTTTTTTTTCGCTTCCCAAAGNTGCACTCGGTGTGAATAAATAGTGGTGTATGAAGCGCGACGGGCGCGGCGGCGGCGCGGGCGCTCGCTCGCCGCGTTACTTCTTGCCGCTTGAGTCCGTGGCGTCCATCTTCTCTTCCGTCTTCACCACCTTGCCTTCGCCTGGAAACAACGTTTGAACGTTTTAATGAGTGAATAACACGCTCACAGAGTCGCTGTTTATCTTTGGAAAATTACTATAAGTTGGACCATCTTATGTCATCAAGTTTCATCATGTAAGACATAAAAATCCTTTTTGAACTCTTAGAGTAGGCGCACACCGTTGATTTTTAGTTGGCCGATAGTTGTGCCCGATTTCAAATTGTATGAAGAATCGGCCAAATCGAATCGGCGTAGTGTGCGCACTCCCATACATGCCCATACTGATCAACAGCCCGATTAAACTATCGGCCGACGAAAAATCAACGGTGTGCGCCTACTCTTAAAAATATGAAAAGTATTATTAATGATTGCGATTTTTTAAAAATAAAATCAAATCGATATTACAAAAATAACAATGCCTGTATTGACTCAATTTATTGATCTTCATTATAAAGGTGAAATAATGAGTAACAAATAGCATGCGTAAGGTGCACATATTTTATGAATATGTTGTGTTCTGGGTGTTTCGCTTACCATTGGGCGTGTCTGGGTCAGGGTCGGTGTTGGAGCGGCGGCGCTTGCGCGGGAACTTCCAGCCGCCCGCCGCGTGCTTCAGCTTCGGCAGCGGCTCCATGTCCAACACCTGGGAATAATAAATAAATAAAACCTTGGACATTTTACACTGCGCCGCTAGTCCCAAACTAAGCAAAGCTTGTACAATGGGTAATACCAAATAATTAACTGCCTTGTTATGCATAAAAAAAAAGTCATGACACCACCAATCAATTGACATGCTTCTTAAAACTGTCAAAACGAGACTCATAAATTCTGGAAGGCACTTTGCACTTCTATATGGAATGGCAGTCCATCATAAGATATCTGAAAAGCAAAAACTTGTTGGTTTTTTGGGACTTGGCCCAATTGTCAATTCTACACCTCAATTATTTTACTCCTGCTTCTGAAGGGTTTGACGAAGAATGTGCACATCGCAAAATGAGAACTCGATTCGAATTAGTGTATTTCTTCGCATTAGGTCTGTGAAATTGATCCCTTCTGACTACACTCATTAACAAACTCCACCTCTTTTTAGGACTACCATGACAATTAATCCTTCATCATCCATTTTAAAATGACAATGAAAAGAAGCAATTTCTAGTAAGAGAACAAAACATACCTTGTGAATTTGCCTGAAAGCAATTTGTCTCAGGAATTGTTGTGCAGACGCAGTTAAGTCTTCACGCTTCTGTGGTGGCAAGTTACCAATAGCATCCTGAAATAATACAAAAATAACATTAGTCTATGGATTTGGTACCCTCTACAGCCTACACATTACTACTTTTAACATAAAAAAAAAATGTGCTTGATATTTTCATCGTGAGATCTAAGAATTATAATAACCAGCAGTCTAGACTTCTTAGGTCTTAGACCGTACTAGGCTTAGAATTATGAACACTAGGCCCACAACTTAATTGTTTTTCTAAGGGTATCTTCGCGTCGGTGTTGGCGAGATCAAGGAGTGTGTAACCTGTATATTTCCACCAATCAACTTCAGTTGTACCAGCCTCAGCGCGGCACAGCTATCAGGAAATTTGAATTTGGTTGTTTAGCCCCCTTGGGTCAAAATCGAATCGAGGGTGTACTAGCTTAGAAATAAAAGCCAAACTACACGACGGGTTTATTACGTCACCACAATCGGTTATTAGAAAGTGGGATGGTTAATGTGAATTGTGAACGGTGCACTATGAACCAAAAGTCCAATCTAGCTTATTATACAGGGTGTTAGGTAAATGGGTATATGAGCCGAGACTAGCCCATGTTAACATACTCATATAAATACTATAGTGGTGTCAGAAAGTGGATATCGTAATATTTAATAAAAAATATTTTCCCATACAAAACTAAATAAATTATTATTATTTAAATTTTTGGACAGCCCTACGATCGCGCAACTCCCTCCTAGGTCAAATGTGGTCAAACGGTATTTCATTCACAAATTTTGACGCGAGTCGGCACCGCCCACTTTTATTATTACTTTTGAACCAATTCTTCACTTACCTCTTTTTATTGACTCTGCAAGCAATCCAAGGTATTCAGGGGGTAACACTTCACTCTAATTCACAAAACGAATCGCAACACATCTGACATTTCGTTGTCCTTCAAAGATTAAACAGTGCGTTGGACACATTTCTTTAATGCCTAAGGTTTTTTTTCAATGGTGTCTTATTTTTAGTTAAGGTATTTTTAGTACACAATATCGTGATTTACGATGATAAAATTTAAATGATTACCTACAATGTCTCATTTTCCTTAATCAAAGTTATCAAGTTTAATGATTCGTTCGTTCATTCATTTCAGCCGAATGACGTCCACAATGAACGGTCCTGATTATTCAGTTTATTTTAATAAGTAAGTCTATGAAGTAAAATTAATTCTTGACCACTTTGTTTACTTTTACTTATCCAAAATCCAAATCGAATCAAATAAGGTAAGGGGGTATTTGACTTGTGCTAAATCTTTTTAGATGGACTGATTTTCCTGGGGGATTGCTTAAGGTTTTTGCCTCTCAGAGACAAATTTTTAGGCAGAAAATTATTATTATGAATTCTGTTATTTGTTTTATCTACGCTAGTTTGTCGTACTATTAATTTTCAGGGGTGTCACGACGCAATTTGGCGACAAAAACTGAATCAGCTGATTACTCAATAATGGTACCTTTCCCAGACTTTCTGACACCACTATAGTATTTATATGAGTATGTTAACATGGGCTGGTCTCGGCTCATATACCCATTTACCTAACACCCTGTATGGGTCGCCTAAAACTTTGACACCGCGGTGTAAGTCAGCACAACGCCATCTATTGATAGTCTTGCGAACTAAAATGTCTTAGAATCTATGAAATGTAACTAATTGACTTAGACTATTCTTCCATGGTTGAGGTTGGATGAGTCATGTCACGTGAAGCAGGGAAGGGAATATGCTACGGAAGTTGGGAGTTTGGGTGACCTTTCAACTATAGGCTACGGGAGTCAAGAGTTTGTAAGATCTTCTCGGGATGACAATCCGTGTGTATTTGCAGACAGTACGCCCCACGAGCTTCTCCTTCCATCTCGATGGGCTTTGGAAGAGGAATAAAAACCGTACGTATAGAGTACATACCACGAGCTCCTTCTCGCAGGGGTCGCGCAGGCCGGGCCCGTGCTCCAGCAGCAGGCCGCCCGCCACGGCCTCCATGACGCGGCGCAGCGCCTCGCCCGCCGACAGCGCCGCGCCCGCAGACGACAGCACGCCCGCCACCAGCAGCTCCATCGCCTGAGGGACAGTACTGTTAGGCAGTGGCGGCGTAAGGCGTAGGCGACGTGGGCCACCGCCTACGGCCTCGCGGAACAAGGGGCCTCGCGCATCAAAAATTTTGCTCACATGTCAAATTCAACTTTTAAATACTATTAAATATAAATTATTGATAGCTAAACAATGTAGTTAAAATTTTTTTTTCCAAACCAATTCAGCCATAATCAGACACAAAATTAAGCAACAACACGGTTTTAAGTGACAAACATTATTCGTTAGCGCAAAATTCCATTAAAAATAATCACTGAATCAAGAAATCAGAAACTGTCAATGAATAGACCATTGACTCGTTTTTTTTATTATTTCATAAAATCCGTCTTTAGGTCGCCACAGAACAAGGCCTCGCGAAATCTGTCTTGCCCCCATCAAATTTAGGTCTTGCCCCGCCACTGCTGTTAGGCCGGGAGAAGCGCGACAGCAGCGTTTTTGTAATGGTACGTCCACACTGGGCGAATGGGCTCGCGCAGCAAACTCGACAGCTTGCTCACTCAAGAGCAGGATGAGCAGGATGTCGAGTTTGCCACGCGGGCCCGTTCGCCCAGTGTGGACGCACCATAATGTGAAGGCAGGCATCCGCTGTCACATAGTATGAAGTTAGCAGCGCGTCTGTAGCGCGTTCGTCGCGCTGCTAGTCGCCTAAATGTGAAAGCGCTCTTAGCACACGTCTTGGTGAAGCAGAGCCGTCATACAGGGTGACTGGGATTTGGACTAGTGTAGTGGTAAAATCCTCCACCCCGCAGTACAATATACGACATTAGTTTGAGACAATTAATGTACATCTTGCTGAACGAGCTTGGAAAGCAGCTGGGATTTTGTTATCAAAACTCCACCCCACAAAAGTACACATTATGTGTGACATAAGTCAATTAAATCAAGAATATTTATCCAATTTTGACCAGTATTTTGTAATGAACACTTATGAACGCCAAACATAGTAAAAAATCTATAAGGGTTCCGTTTTTTGCTATTTAGCTACGGAACCCTAAAAAAGGAACTTTACATGTCTCTTTATCTTTTGGGCTCTACCAAGCCTTCAAGACAAACATAAAATATGTCTCCAAGACTCAAAACCTTTTTGCATGTCATTTTAAAGTCACACATGAAGTACCAGTGCCACAGTATTCCTGAAAATTTCAGTGAAGAAACAAATGCCAAAAAGACTTATGCAAACACATCCTAGATTTAGCTATTTAAATTCCACTCCACTTCTCTGAAGTTCTACTAAAATTCGCTCTAAAGAAGATTGTCCGATAAAAAAAGGTACACCCTGTAAGTAATGGGACAATACCGTATTTAAATCAATAAAAAATGAATATACAACCCGATCGAGCTAACTGCGCACATCTTTGGAGTGCAATTCCCCCTCCTACTTAGGGGCCATCCATAAAGTACGTCACACGAATTTCATGATTTTTGACTCCCCCTCCGTTCTTGTCACAGGTGGTCACATTTCTGAGACCCCCCCCTCCCTAGTGTGACGTCACATGTTTTGCAATTTCACATCGAAAAATTATTAAATTAACAGCAGTTCCGGAATTAGTTTTATTTCTATTTAAATTAAGTATTTTTTTATATGAAATCAACATTATATCAAATATCTGAAACAGTTGAAATGTGATGTCACGAAACTTGGGACCCCTCCCACCCCTTGTCACACCATGTCACACTTTGTCAACCCCCTCCCCCCCTCTTTACGTGTGACGTACTTTATGGATGACCCCTTACCCGAACACCTCCCAGAGCGTCTGTGACGTCACGGTGCGCAATTCACTCGATTGGGTTGTAAAGTTTAATGATAATAAAAAATAAACTCACGTATGGGTTGAGCGGCGTCCAGTTGGGTATCCGGCGGCACAGGTCCCGCATGACGCGAATGATGATCACGCACGACTGCAGCGTGGCCGCCCTAGCCTGCACACACAGTCCCACGTAAGCCAGGGCCGACGCTCGCCTCACCGATTTATTGCTCCACTCTCTCAAGTTACGTTAAGCTCGACAGTTCGGCAAAGAAAAGAGCAATAAATGGATGCACACACGTCATACAGTCATCACCGTCCAAAACTGCGTTTCCGTTCGGAACTACCTCCCATCGGGCTACCAAGTGCGGGAAACGCAGCTTAGTTTTACAAGAGGCACTTGTAGCCACATGTTCATGGGAGCTCAAATCGTTCTTTAATAAATTTACAACTCAAAATACTACCTCAGATGGAAAATAAAACAAACATGTGACTAAAAAAATACGTGCGCACTCCCTCTAGTGGTGTACAAAGGAAGAGACGGTTCGATTCGAATCGGACTCGGTTATGTTATAGCAAGCAAAGTTCAGTGAAGCTATAGTTAGGCGTGGAGTGCGCACACGTTTGTAAATGTGGGCGAATGTACCTGGAACCACTTGGCGTGCCGAAGGGCGGCCAACGCGTCCAAACACTTCTGCCGCGGTAGCACATCCTTGTCGTCTCGCTTTATGTCGCCGCCCTCTAGCGACAACAACACAAAGGGTGTTTGACCATCAGAACATCGACGAAAACGGGGCAAACATGGCTCCGAGCTCCTACCGGGACACATTACATCGGGGGCGGTTCCTACTTAGCTGTTAGTGTCAACGCTTCTACTGATTCGGACCCATGTGAAAAGGAAATAATAAAAAAGATAATATAAACATATACATAGATGAAATACATAATGTTTGCTCCGTTTCGGTAGATAACAATATACCACTGCGGAGACGCATCGCGAGTGATATAAAGGGATAGATGATCAAAAATCCTTTTCTTCTCGCCGCATCTAACCCTAATCACACCTAAAAATAAGCATCGAACACAGTGCCGGGGGCCGGCGGTAAACTTTGAACAAATTATCTTTTTTTTTTCATGTTATAATGGGTGTAACAAAATATATTCAGTAAAATACATACAAAATATAAAATAGAATGAACATAGTAGAGATAGTTTGTTCTGACAGTTCAACAGAGCAAAGGGAAGAAGACGTTGGCAGCGGCCGGCTGCGGCGCGCGACGCGTCGGCGGCTCGAGCTTACAATAACATTCAGTGGGTGTATGCTACGGCTAGTTGGCAAAAATTAAAAACGATTAATGTTCAATCAGCCGGATAACATAACACCCTAAATAACATAAATTAACATGTATGTCAAAACCATAAGCTGGTTGATATAAATTTGTATAAAATTAAGGCGAGTTCTTCAAATCACATTATAAAACGGGGGGAAATCCTAAAACACAATCAAGTATATGAAATATTTATGCAATTCCTATTGAGGTTACTATCAACCAGCTAAGTAGTTCAAATTAAGCTCTAAAAAGTGGCCATATCATCATCATTATATTTTTAAATAATAAACTAAATTCCCGCTTAGGGAAAATCGTTCAATACTCGTATGCTCCACTATTTACGCCGTTTATTTACTTTCAAAAATATATGTCGCGTCTGCATCAGTAACAAGGCCACGATAGCTGATTAACCTCCGAAGTTGTATCGCCCGAGGAAATCATTACAATGAATTTTTGCTGGCCCGTTCCCATCGTTTCATCCAAGTATGACGTCTCACTACCTCCCAATAAATAATGTATCCTACCACACAAAATTTACCATCGCTTCTCTGAAATCAAATCAGTTCGGACCTGCCTACGAATAGCAATCCAAGGATGGAACAATAGGAACAAATTCTGGTGTCATGATTTCCCGAGACCGATACCACACAAGTCGCTCCAGTGATGAGATTGTAACATTTAGAATGGCAACGAAAGGCGGATTCCCTTCAAGAAGTGAAAGATGTAGTAATTATGAATTACTGGCCTCGTTCCGTCGCAGTGACTGCGGAGCATGCGAGTATCGAGCGAGCCGTTTATGCGCAAATTGTCAAATTCGCAAATTGTCAAGCGGTCGCAATGTGCCAGATTCTCACTTTGTCAAATTCGCAAAATATGTCAAATGCGCAAATTGTCAAATTCGCAAAATGTCAAGTTTTAAAAATGTCCAGTTGTTTAGGTTTTAATACTAAAAATCAAGTAATTAATTGGCAGAACTTTTAATCATTAAAATGTTAAGGTTTTTTTAAATATGAAACCATAAAACCGTAGTCTAAAGACATTTTTAAAATTTGACATTTTGCGAATTTGACATATTGCGCATTTGACATTTTGCGAATTTGGCAATTTGACAAAGTGAGAATCTGGCACATTGCGATCGCTTGACAATTTGCCAATTTGCGCATGAACGGAGCGAGCATGCAAATGTGTCGCGAGGCTTGCGGCGCGGGCGGGGCTTACCTGCGGGCTCGCGCATGACGGCTGACGTCAGCGACACCAGCACGCTCACGGTGCCGTCCGACACTTGCACGGCGCCCTCGGCCGGGAGCAGCTCCACCTTGTACTTCGGCTCCTCGCCGGGGCCCTGGGGGATATAGTCGTCAGGTCACTTGTCTGCATTGCAGGAATACGACCCTCCAATTTACCAGAGGTGGTAAATGATGGCCTTACACAACATTGGCCTTTTACGACTTCTACGAGAAGAGTGGGGGTGGTCTTATTCTATAATACTCTTCAAGAATCTTATTGATATAGTCAAATTAAAAACATAAATTGAATCAGTGATCAGAGTGGCTGCCTATTCATCATCATTTCAGGCATAGGACGTCCACTGCTGAACATAGGCCTCCTTAATTATTTCTACAATGGCCAGTTGGTGGCGGCCTGTATCCAGCGCCTATTACGATCTGTCGAAATCTTGGATATATTGTAGGAGACTAGGAGCACATATCGTTCAAGATCTATGTGTGTAGAATGTGCAAGAGAGTTTTGCATGAAAATTGGTAACTATTTGAATTCAAACTAGTTCCGTCTCCTTTTTGCGAGTGTTCCACTGATGATGTCAGTCATGAGCAGTCTGCCCATCATATCTTGTGGGAGTATGATCTTTGGAAACATGAACGTGATATAATGCTTAATTCAATACAACATACATCTGTTTCTGTAATTTATTAATTTCGTTGCGGGTCCAATGACAGTTTAACTTTCCCCCGGGACAAACTTGACCTTCATTGGTTGGGTTTTTGTGGCGGTCAAGCTGTAGATCCTGGCTACACAGGAGTTGCAGTGGTGGGAACGAGAGGTGGGAATAGTCCTGTAACTCTTTGAATCATGGGACATGGAGTAGGACCAGGTGGTTGCCTGGTCCTGACCAAGTTGTCTCCACTCACCCTGGCGCGCTGCAGGTGGAGCGGCAGGTCGGCGGCGACGCGCTTGAGCAGCGTGACGGTGGGGCGCGCGTGGCACAGCACCACGAGGCGCACGCGCGCGTCGCCGGCCAGCAGCAGCCCCTTGGCCAGCAGCCCGACGCGCATCACGCCCTTCAGCGCGCGCCCGCCCTCGGAAGCGCCCGCGCCCTCGCCCTCGCCCATGAACGAGAACCTGTCACGATCAGGAGACTTAGATGACACTTTATTTATTTATTTATTAATTAGGTACACCAACAGAGGGCTCAAAAACTGAACTCCGACAAACATTACTTCGACATTACGTTACTCCGACACTACTGAATATCGGCATGACTTTACTTCGACACTACACTACTTAAACAAAGGCGAATATCCTTTGTCGGAGTAGTGTAGTGTCGAAGTAAAGTCATGCCGATATTCAGAAATGTCGGAGTAACGTAATGTCGAAGTAAAGTTTGTCGGAGTTTACTTAGGTAGCCCAACAGAGTCACATACATAATCAAATACAGTTCATACATTTTAACATGGTTTAACACATGATACGTATATGACCTCAATTACTGGTATACACAGCATTTCTTTTTGCAATGTTAGGGTAATTGTACACTAATAAAAACAAAAATCAATTGAATAGAGTTTAGAGTTTAAGCACCAAACAATATAAAGGATTTAGTAATTGTTCATTTTGTTCGGTGCCTAAGTCGTTCCGAATACAGGCTTGAAGTTTTGACAGTTAATGTATGACAGATTATACAGCGTCCTTAGCGGATATAACTCAAAGGTGACCGACTGATGACATAGTGATCTTATTCTTCTTTTTTGATGATGTTGACAATACACGTCGAGGTCGACTTGATTTGTGCCATTTTCAAGTATATAAGTGATACGAGTTACAAAATGAGATCAAGTAATGATATAATGAAGGATGATAGATGATACCCCTTCCCACCCTTTGAGTCTCAGTAAAATTGTGGTGCTTTACTGAGACCTCCTATGGACAACTTGAGAGAACCAGAAGAATCACGATGCACTGTTTTGCTTCACTTGCCCACACCCATGCACGTTCACGAACACTCAATGGTTAATAATCCACCATTATTACACATTAATTAGTCGCCCACACACGAATTTGAGGAAATAAAACAAAACCACTAACATGACGCTTCAGATTCCCGCCAGGAAGTCCGACATAGTGATTTATCAACGCACAGCCCAAACCACTAGACGAATCGGGCTGAAAATTGACATGCAGGTAGATGTTATGACGTAGGCAACCGCTAAGAAAGGATTTTACGAAACTCCACCCCTAAAGGGGTAAAAAGGGATCCACGCGTACGAAGTCGCAGACGGCCGCTAGTTCAAGAAATATAACTCATAAAACACATTTATTTATGCAACTAGGCTTTTAAAAAACACCTTTACACGTCCCAGTCTTAACCCTACCACTGCTTCAGGACAATAAATGGGGCAGTGCTGAGAAGCAGCGCAAGAAACTCAGTCACTATTGTCAGACAAAGACGTTTGATATGAACTTACAGTGGCCGCTCAGAACCACTAAAATTTCTCAATAGTAACTGAGTAACTGAGCGCAAGTAGCGCTGCTTCTTCTCAGCACTGGCCCATGTCTTGTCTCGAAGTAGTGGTAGGGTTAATACTGGGACATGAAGCCTATTTGCAAAAATAAGTGATTCTTTTAGGGCTCTCGCCCACGGCGACTTTTAACGAAACACGCGACTAAAAAAAACTGGTTGTGACTCTGAAAATGCTTCATGGACCCTTTCAAATGGCATCAATAATAATAGGTTACAGAAAAAACTGTATCTATCCGAAAATTCAATGTTTCCAGCTTCCACAGTAAAACATCCACATCGGAAATTCGTCTTATGTCTTTAGTGAAAACGCTCACCACGCGTTATGGAAATCACAGAAAATCACATAGTGAAATTCGTGTCGTGTTCGTTGAAATTCGTGTAGTGTTCGTTGTCATGATATTCGACCTTGACGCGTTCTGAGCATTAATTAAACACATACTTGAGGCGTCTAGTTTCAAATCCCGCTAAAACGGTTTTGATAAGATTTCGAGAAATTGAAAAAAACCGCTTATCCATATAGCTTTGGCCTTAGGCAAAAAAATATACGATACGAATTATTATTGTCATCTGGCAATACTAACAGTAATTCCTATTCACCTTTAAATTAAATATAATTTGAATTATAATGAAAACTATTTTCATTTTGGCGTACTTTGTTACGAACATTCCGTTTTAATGATNCCCCTTGGCCAGCAGCCCGACGCGCATCACGCCCTTCAGCGCGCGCCCGCCCTCGGAAGCGCCCGCGCCCTCGCCCTCGCCCATGAACGAGAACCTGCCCAGACACAGACAGAGCTTAGTGCGAGTTTACATCAGTGACTGCATAAAAAATACATTTGGATTTGTGACAGTGAAAAATCATAGGGCATTCTTTTGTTTTACTCTCTGTCTGTTGGATTCGATCGATACACACGTCTGTTGAAATTATTTCGCATTTTTACTTTAAAATACATATACCTGATTCCCTTCAATATATGACGGATTGTACAGCGACCCTAGCGGATACTTTCAAGAACTAAAATCTTCATAGATGTCTTTAACGCGCTCGCATGTGACGACGCTTGATGTAAACTCCCACTGGCCGCTCAGAACCGCTTTAATTTCACAATAGTAGTGATATAAGTTACTTGCGCTGCTTCTTCTCAGCACTAGCCCATTTATTAAAAGAAACTGGATCTATTTGATAGTTTAATATTTCCAATTCCACAGTAAAACATCCACAAAACGCTCACAACGCGTTTTGGCAATGAAGAAAAACCATGAGGCCTTCTGATTCTAAGCATTAATTAAACACATACATAATCAACTACAATTTAACAAAAAGTCTACAAACAATGAATCAAGCTTTTAAATCTCTAACTACTTAACTACAAATTACATTCGGGATCTAGTTTTAACTAGTACGAGATACATTTCAATAAACTTACGACTGCTCCATTTTCACTGGTAACGTATCTTTCTCTTTTTTAATGTCTTCCATTTTAACAGGCAGCATGTATTTGAACCTGGTTCCAAGCGCAAGTGGCGTTCAACAAAATGGGTAAGTGCAGTGATGCAAAAAAATAATTCACAACAAAAAAAAGGCAACAAATATTATAACAAGCTTAAGATGAAACTTTAGTGTAACCAAATTATTACTAACAAATCCATTACAATAGAAATAAAGTATAAATGAGGTACTATTAACACGTCTATTTAAATAAAAACTGTAGTTATTTAGTGAAAATGTTAGGAAGACTAGGTATAGAAAACCACAAAACAAAAATTATCCAAGTATTTCCGAAGGTTTACTCACAATTGGTTATCGCGGCCGTCTTCTTTTCCTTCGGGCTTGTCATCTTTCTTCTCTTCGGTCTTGACCTGGGCTTTGGCAGGTGTCTGGGCCTGAAGAAGGAATGCCAATTAATATTATTTTACGAGATATTAACTGAAGCATGTCAATCGTGTCAGATGTCTACCGACAGTGGCAACGGCGGCGGACATTCCCTAACCCTAAATGCTCGAATATAAATTTGAGCCCATGCTGTGTTTGTCCGTCAACATATGCTTATAACGGCTGATCCCGACACAAGGGAGAGGAAGCATTTCGATTGCTCCTTCTAGGCAAAGGCCTCAGAGTGTTATCACAAAAGTCCGGTGGCCGAGCAGATAGAATTTCGTACAATAACCCCAAGCTACCCATCGTTATCGCTCCCGAGTGTGCGAGCGCGACAGCAATATGATTACGACCGGACTTTAACGATAATGCTCTGCCCGCATCCAGGTGTTTGGCCTGCCTAAACTACGTTTTTCTGGACCATGGTGCAACTCGAGGACTTTACTGCTGACTCGAGCGGGCAGCGACCGAGCAACAGAGACAAGCAGTGGCGGGTAACTACTTGCGTGGCCAGGAAGGCCTTGGATGACCTGCAGTTTGGTTCAGGCAGACAGTAACGGTGGCAGCTACTGGTCTGGGCCTGCTGCAGTTGGCTCGGGCAGTGATCGGGTGACAGAGTGAGGAGTAGTGAGCAGCTACTGGTCTTGGCTTGGATGGCCTTAGATGTTCTGCAGCTGGCTCGGACTAGTGTCCGGTCGACAGAGAGAGAGTAGTGGTGGGCATCTACTGGTCTTGACCTGGATGACCTTCAGCTGGCTTGAGCAGTGACCAAACGACAGAGTGAGGAGTATTGGCGGGCAGCTACTAGGCATGACCTGGATGACCTGCAGTTGCCTCGGGCGGGCAGCGACCGGACAACAAACTAAAGAAGCTACTGCTTCTTGCCAGAAGCAGTAGCTTCTTTAGTTTGTTGCTAAGACCAGAAGCTACCAGCTACTGCTGGTAGCTACTAGGCTGACCTGCAGCTGACTCGTGCAGTGACCGGGCGACAGAGAGAGGAGTAGCAGCTACGTTTCTTGGCCTGGATGGCCTCGGATGACCTGCAGCTGGCTCAAGCGGGTAGCGTCCGGGCGAGTAGCGTCCGGGTGGATAGCGTCCTGACGGGCGGAATGCAGCTTACTCGGGCAGTGACCGGGCTACAGAGAGAGGAGTAGTGGCGGGCAGCTACGTAGCTCGGCCTGGATGGCCTTGAACGACCCGCAGCTGGCTCAAGCGGGAAGCGTTCGGGCGAGTCGCGTCCGAATGGATAGCGTCTTGACGGGCAGAGACCGGGCGACACTAGACTAGAGGCAGATGGGGAGCAGTGACGTCACCTTGGGCTTGGCCTGGTCGGCGAGCGCGTCGGAGAGCGACTTGAGCGCCTTCTCGGTGTGCGACACGGCACGCTGGATGTCCTGCAGCTGCGGCTCCGGCGGGTAGATGTCGGCGTGCTTGGCCAGCACGTGGCGGTCGTCCGACGTCTCCGGCCGCCTGCCCACTGGCCCGTAAGGCATGCCCATGCCCTGCAAACAACACGCTTGTTAAGTACATAATTATACCAATGAGTTGAAGTCCAAAACCTTACAAGAAGTTTTGGAGCTGTACATCTCTCATTCGAAGGTATAGTCTGGTCTGTGAGCACGTAGAATTTTGTCCAATGACCCCAAGCGCACACTCACTGCGGGCGCCCGTCGCACAGTCGCGACAGCAATATAATTACGCGCGGCCGATAAGGATGGGTAGCTCGGGGTCATTGGACAAAATTCTACGTGCTCACAGACCGGGCTTTAGATAGCGCCACGAATTCATGAACGATAGTCAAATGACAAATAATATAATGAGAGAAATTAAGGGCCGCCGCTGAAACTCACGCGGGCGCCCGCACGAGTTGCTGTATCGACAAACAGCATGATCAGCGCAGTGTGGCGCGCATGCGTGTCATGTGACGTTTCCACACGCAATGGGGGCGGACATCTATATAAATAAAAATGAATTGATGTTCGTTAGTCTGATTAAAACCCGAGAACGGCTGGGCCGATTGAGCTGATTTTGGTTTTAAAATGTTTGTCGTAGTCCAGGGTAGGTCTAAACGGTGAGCAAATACGCGCGCGATATTGTTTTTCTGTGACAGACAAAATTCCACGCGGGCGAAGCCGCGGGCGGGAAGCTTAATTATAATTTTCGTACGAAAAAATGCTAAATAAGATCCTCTATAGCTTATAAAGCCACATGCTGTCATCCAATGCCTGTACGGCAAAGAATCCATTTTAACATGACCTACAAGATCACGGCAACTTTAAACGCTACTTACGTGGTGGTGGTGGTGGTGGTGCGGCGGCAGCGGGCCGCGCGGCCACCAGGGCTCGGCGCCGCCGTCCCAGTAGCCGCGCTCCTCCTCCTCCATGCCCTGAGACAATGCACGTTCGTCAGCGAGGGATTCACAGGGGTTTATAATAATAATAATGATTTATTTCTCACACAAAAATACAATACATTTAAAGAAAACACATTAATGAGTGTGTGAGACCGGAGCCTGAGCTAGGTAAATGAATACCTGTGTCTCCCCCCACCACGGATTTGAGCAAGTATCTATGTACGAGGGCTGCACTAAAAGTATCGGGAANAGACGACTCACTTAATCAACTACAATCTAACAAAAAGGCTACAAACAATGAATCAAGAAGCTTTTTTTAAATCTAACTACTGATCATTCTACTTCAAACTACATTAAATTTCTGTGATCTACTTTTAACTAGTACGAGATACGTTTCAATGAACTTACGACTGCTCCATTTTCACTGGTAACGTATCTTTCTCTTTTTTAATGTCTTCCAATTTAACAGGCAGCATGTATTTGAACCTGGTTCCAAGCGCAAGTGGCGTTCAACAAAATGGGTAAGTGCAGTGATGCAAAAAAATAATTCACAACAAAAAAAGGCAACAAATATTAAATAATAAGCTTAAGATGAAACTTGTGTAACCAAATTATTACTAACAAATCAATTACAATAGAAATAAAGTATAAATGAGGTACTATTAACACGTCTATTTAAATAAAAACTGTAGTTATTTAGTGAAAATGTTAGGAAGACTAGGTATAGAAAAGCACAAAACAAAAATTATCCAAGTATTTCCGAAGGTTTACTCACAATTGGTTATCGCGGCCGTCTTCCTTTCCTTCGGGCTTGTCATCTTTCTTCTCTTCGGTCTTGACCTGGGCTTTGGCAGGTGTCTGAGCCTGAAGAAGGAATGCCAATTAATATTATTTTAAGAGACATTAGCTGAAGCATTTCAATCGTGTCAAATGTCTATCTATCTGGTGGCAATGGTGACGAACATCTCAAGGCCTGGCCTCAGGGTGTTTTCACAACTAACAGTCATGCACCGCCCGCATCCAGATGTTGCCAAAAGAGAAAGAGTAATGGTGGGAAGCTACTGGTCTTGGCCTGCTGCAGTTGGCTCGGGCAGTGATCGGGTGACAGAGAGTGAGGAGTACTGGCGGGCAGCCACTGGGCTTGGCTTGGATGGCCTTAGATGTTCTGCAGCTGGCTCGGACTCAGTGACCGGTCGACAGAGAGAGAGTAGTGGTGGGTGTGCCGGTATGCACAATACTAAATCTCTTCATATCTTATCTTGATCACGTTCACAGTGTCAGCACATTTATCACGTATAGTGCTGATGCTGTGACGTCATTTATCTATAATCTATATCGTATAAATATACGTGCAGTCCGCGTTAATAAACAGATTAATATCAGAGACTAACTACAACCTGTGTCTCATTCATACGGTCCCCCAACATGGCACAAATTGGTGACCCCGACGAAGAAGATGAACCTGACGACGAAGCCAACGAAGTCGGCACAAATTGGTAACCCCGACGACGAACCGGACGAAGATGACCATCCCGACGAAGATGGCACAAATTGCTGACCCCGACGTAGCCGACGAAGCCGACAAACAACGACGAAGTTAAACAAGTACCAAGCCAACGTGATGTGAGACGTAACCTCCATCACCACCACCTTCGGCATCAGCCTCCACCAGCTTTCATCATCTGACATGGAATCAAATTGGTTACCCGATTGAGCAGAGAAAATCCGTGACGTCATCAACATACATCACCGTCAACATGTCAACTCCGTGCAAGTCGTGCAACACAACACTACGAGAAGTCGCTGCCAGTACCCCTGTCACATCCGTGTTCCCGATTTCTAAAAGGACCAACCTCGTCTGTGCCGGTATGCACAATACTAAATCTCTTCATATCTTATCTTGATCACGTTCACAGTGTCAGCACATTTATCACGTATAGTGCTGATGCTGTGACGTCATTTATCTATAATCTATATCGTATAAATATACGTGCAGTCCGCGTTAATAAACAGATTAATATCAGAGACTAACTACAACCTGTGTCTCATTCATACGGTCCCCCAACATGGCACAGTGGGCATCTACTGGTCTTGACCTGGATGACCTTCAGCTGGCTTGAGCAGTGACCAAACGACAGAGTGAGGAGTATTGGCGGGCAGCTACTAGGCATGACCTGGATGACCTGCAGCGACCGGGCGACAAACTAGAGAAGCAGTAGCTGGTAGCTACTGAGCATGACCTGGATGGCCTGCAGCTTACTCAGGCAGTAACCGGGCGACAGAGTGAGTGAGCAGTTACGTGGCTTGGCCTGGGCCCTGGATGGCCTTGGATGACCTGCAGCTGGCTCAAGCGGGTAGCGTCTTGACGGGCAGAGTCCGGGCGACAAGCTAGAGGAGCAGTGACGTCACCTTGGGCTTGGCCTGGTCGGCGAGCGCGTCGGAGAGCGACTTGAGCGCCTTCTCGGTGTGCGACACGGCGCGCTGGATGTCTTGCAGCTGGCTCGAGCGGGCAGCGTGCGGGCGACAAGCTAGAGGAGCAGTGACGTCACCTTGGGCTTGGCCTGGTCGGCGAGCGCGTCGGAGAGCGACTTGAGCGCCTTCTCGGTGTGCGACACGGCACGCTGGATGTCCTGCAGCTGCGGCTCGGGCGGGTAGATGTCGGCGTGCTTGGCCAGCACGTGGCGGTCGTCCGACGTCTCCGGCCGCCTGCCCACTGGCCCGTAAGGCATGCCCATGCCCTGCAAACAACACGCTTGTTAAGTACATAATTATACCAATGAGTTGAAGTCCAAAACCTTACAAGAAGTTTTGGAGCTGTCCATCTCTCATTCGAAGGTATAGTCTGGTCTGTGAGCACGTAGAATTTTGTCCAATGACCCCAAGCGCACACTCACTGCGGGCGCCCGTCGCACAGTCGCGACAGCAATATAATTACGCGCGGCCGATAAGGATGGGTAGCTCGGGGTCATTGGACAAAATTCTACGTGCTCACAGACCGGGCTTTAGATAGCGCCACGAATTCATGAACGATAGTCAAATGACAAATAACATAATGAGAGAGGATTTATAAGCCGCTGCTAAAACTCACGCGGGCGCCCGCACGAGTTGCTGTATCGACAAACAGCATGAACAGCGCAGTGTGGCACGCATACGTGTCATGTGACGTTTCCACACGCAAGGGGGGCGGACATTACCTTATAATTTTCGTACCAAAAAATGCTAAATAAGATCCTTTTATAGCTTTTAAAGCCACATGCTGTCATCCAAAGCCTGTGCGGCAGAGAATCCATTTTAACATGACCTACAACGATCATTCACAGCAACTTTATTATTATGTACTATATTATTATTATTTATGTATGTATATTTTATGCAGTATAGGTTAGTGTCCGTGACTCTCACTCGGCATGGGGCACACTGAAAACCAGAGTCGTGGCTTCCCTCACCGGGGGCCACGGCATATGCTGAGTGGGGTCCCATTGCGATGGGCATCGCTGTGCGACAGGGTGGCACTGCTTAGTTTACTTGCTCATTCATTGTATGTTTGTTNTTTTTAGACCAAGAAAACATAGAATTATTAGTCCATCCGCCGTACAGCCCCGACCTAAGCCCTAATGATTTCTATACTTTCCCTAAAATAAAGAATAAATTGCGTGGTCAGAGATTTTCATCACCTGAAAAAGCTGTGGAAGCCTACAAAACGGCCATTTTGGAGACCCAAACTTCCGAATGCAATGGTTGCTTCAATGATTGGTTTCGTGTATGGAAAAATGTGTCAAATTTCGCGGAGAATACTTTAAAAAGCAATAAATACATTTTTAAATGGAAATGTTGTTTCACTTCCTTGATTCCCGAAATTTTCAGTGCCGCCCTCGTATAACTAGCAAAGGCGAGAACATTTTAAAATAGTAATAGGTTATTTAACGAGTGTTATTTTGAGAGCCTATTGCCCGTTTTCACCATCAATCCCAAATTTTTAGGTGACAGCTATGTGAACAAAATTCCTGTTATGTGTTACCATAGGGGTCACTTTAAAATTAGGGATTGATGGTGAAAACGGGCATTAGTTTCTTTTGTATGTAAGTAAGTGATTGAAGTCCTCAAGAATAATGAGTCGCCTTTGTTCGCCTAGCTAAATGAATTAGTTCCCAGATGAAGTGAACGAAAACGATTATACCTAAGCGATATCACTCGTGTGCTGCTCTGTCAGTTCAGCAGAGCTTGTTTACTTTATGTCAGTTCAAGAGATCATGTCCACCTGTCCAGCATTATGTCGGTTGAGGAGAGGCCGTCTACATGTTCATCATTGACAGTTTAGGAAAGCCTGTCTACCATTGTCAAGAAAGCCTGACATAGCCCGACGGATAAGCAAGCTGAAGTGGCAATGGGCAGGGCATATAGTACGCAGAACTGACGGCCGATGGGGCAGCAAGGTTCTGGAATGGAGGCCGCGTACCGGAAAACGCAGCGTGGGACGTCCACCTACAAGGTGGACCGACGACTACCAACAATGTCATGTCTAAAATAGGTCTAGGTAGGGGAGACCGGGGCTGAAAGTGCCGGGGGTAAATTGTTCCGATGCAAAATATCTCGACAACAGAAAGAATGAGATATGTGATCGTATTATTTCGTATAATGCCTAACAGTTGGCCACATGCGACATAATACGATATCACATATCTAATTCTTTCTGTTGTCGAGATATTTTGCATCGGAACAATTTACCCCCGTCACTTTCAGCCCTGGTCTCCCTATCTAATGTCTGTGTGCATGTATATTATTGTATACAGGGTGGAAACGATAAGTGATCTCACCCGATTATTTCCAAACTATACAATATATCGAAAAACTGGTTACTGATCCTGAAAGTGCTTCATGAGCTCTTTCAAACGGTGTTAATAATAGGTTTCAGAATAAACTGGAACTATCCGAAAATTCAATGTTTCCAGCTTCCATACATTTGGTAAAGTTACATAATTTTAAAAACTACATAAGATATCGTAAAACTGGTTACTGATTATAAAAGTGCTTTACGAGCTCTATCCAACGGTATCAATATCAAATTACTGAATAAACTGGATCTATCCTAAAATTCAATGTTTCCGTCTTCCATACATTTAGTACTATCACAGTCATGGCACTCATCTCTTGATAAATTTTATAGCAAACTAGCTGACCCGGCGAACTTCGTACCGCCTTAGCGTAGAGATTTTCTTAATATTTTTTTCCGTAAGAACCATCCTTGGACTTCCACAAACATTTAAAAAAAAGAATTATCGAAATCGGTTCAGCCGTTCACACGTGATGCCGTGACAACGCGAAACGGGTTTCATTTTTATATATATAGATAAAGCCTAAAACTAATGATTTCACAAATAATTTTAAATAAGATGCAAGTCACGAGTTTATTTAATCGACTTTTTGAGTTTATTATTTAACAAAAAAATAAATTACACTTCTAATTTGTGTCGTCGTCATACATTTAGTATGGAAGCTGGAAACATTGAATTTTGGGATAGTTCCAGTTTATACTGTAACCTATTATTGGTACCGTTTGAAAGAGCTTGTGAAGCACTTTCAGAATCAGTAACCAGTTTTTCGATATCTTGTATGGTTTAGAAATAATCGAGTGAGATCACTTATCGTTTCCACCCTGTATGAATGAGATTATGTAAGTAGTTACGTCGTGCATGCGGCGGCGCGCCCACAGCTCGTCGCGCACCATCATGCGCTGCGCCTTGGCCTCCGCCAGCTTGCGCTGGTGCATCGACGGCTTCACCTTCACCTCCAGGTCCGGTTGCACCTGTAGACAAAGATGGTTTTGTTGCAAAATGACACCTGTTACAACTACATAAGGTTTAAATTGACATGCCGTCGTCTTATACTTTCTGAGCAAAGATTCAGGCTACTTTTGGTAAGAATTACTTTGATATCATCCTCATTATAATTTTGTAATCATACGACGCCCGGATCTCTTGGCTACCCGAGGGTCGCCAGGCTCGACGAGCGCCTCAAACCTTTTACTAAGTAATCACTGGATGATATTATTTAAAGAACTTCTTAATTTACACAACACTTTTTGGCAAAAGTAATTTAATGGACAGCCTCGTATTCTCCAGGGTCGCAGGGGACAAATGTACTTCATTTGGTACATCGAGTAGTTGTTATGGTGCCTCCACACTGGGCGAACGGGCTCGCGCGGCAAACTCGACATCCTGCTCTCTAAGAGCAAGGTGAGCAGGATGTCAAGTTTGCCGCGCGAGCCCGTTCGCCCAATGTGAACGCACCATTACAAGCTATATCGCGCGTGGCAATACCCCTCTTTCGGCTCTTGTGAACTCTCTCCCCTTTTCATATTTAAATAATAAATAAATATAATAAATAAATCTTTGGACAATTTTACACAACGCCAGCTAGCCCCAAAGTAAGCAACTTAATGCTTGTGTTATGGGTGCTAGCTTAACGGATATACTACTTATATACTTTTTTTTTTAATACATAAATATTATACATAGTCACACCCAGACCCGTCACAAAAATTAAAATTCATCATTTCAATATTTGAATGACCCCTAGTGAATACTACTCGGCTGCAAAGTGTAAGGAACAAGCTCAGCGGACATACCTTCTTCTTGTACTGCAGGCGGTGGCGGCGGCCCTTCATGTGCATCTCCTTGGCGTTGGGGTCGTTGAACTTGCAGTCGCAGAGCTTGCAGTTGAAGGAGAGCGCCTTGCCGTCGTCGCCGCGCACCTCCTCGATGTAGTCCTGCCCCACGGGCTGCACCTCGGGCTCGGGCTCGGGCTCGTCGTGCTCGTCGTCGCCTGCGCGCGCCACCGTACTGAGCCCCCCAGACGCCACGAACGCAATCCCGGTCGTCCCCGCGACCGTGTTTTTAGCTATCAGATCGGAAAACCCCAATTCTCTCACCGCGTCACGCCACGTGACGGATTTTGACGAACGTGCGCTCTCGTTGGGTCAAAATTCGTGACGGATCAGATCGTCCGCGCCGCTCGCCGAGCGTGTGACGGCGAGACGGCTGTTGGGCCTTTTCTACAATCTGAGTTTACACATTCTGTTAAGATTGAACCTCGACTCGACCAATTTTTTTGGCGAATTCCGCGGTTACAAAAATTATGCACGCTCGTCGGTTAATTTTAGATGTTGGTATAAAAAAGGCCCACAATTTCACACACTCCATATCTGTATTGAGTGTCGAAACTAGTATTTTGGAAGGAGAAAATTTGCCAGTTATCTTTTCAATCTAATAGCCAACTAATCGCGGATACAGATATGACACTGTGACGTCAGGGGATCAGTACAACACATACTCTCAAATATGATCTCCGTCGTGAAAAAAATACTTACCGAAGATCATATTTGAAAAATAAATCAGAAAATATTGACCAGAATCTATCATAAATCAGTGTAAACTGTGAAGTAATATTTATAGTCTCGAAGTAAATAACTTTTGTCTAAAAACTGGATAACGGAAACTATCATATCAGTGTAAAAATGTTATTAATTAGCTGTAATAAGAATAGAAATGTTTGATTGTAAAATAACTAATATTTTAGTTTAAAATGTAATTTTTAGCACACATTTGTTTTAATATGATGCTCAACTCAAAAACACATGCATGAACAAACAGAAAATGACATGCAATTAAAATATATCAAGATAAAAAGAAAAGATTGTAGTAAATAAAAAATCTTTGTCAGTTACTTCGTTACAAAGTAGTAGTGAATGAATATGATGATTTTCATCTTATGTTGTTGTGTTGAACAATAATGTTGTGCATGATTTGTGTTAAATATGTGAAATATATGAAGGCGATTGTGTAGTTAAGCATAAATGGTTAAACTAATATCAATGTAATTTGTCAATGCCAGTTAATATAAAAACATTCTATTAAATAAACAGTACCTTTAAAAGAATTACTGCTATTTTTTTGAATCAGAATAAGAAGAATCAATTTATATAAAAAAAAGTTACAGTAGCTTCTTCAAACGTACTGTAAATGATTGGTGACGACACCTTTACATGTCACTGCAGTAGCATTCTGAGTGCTGCATTTACAAAACAGTTGATTTGAAATAAACGTGACGTCACATTTCCGCGAGTGTATGCGAGTGACCAGGCACAAACACTATTAAAATAAAAAGCATTCTGGATGCAATTACAAAACGAATTTAAAAAAAACATGACATCATGACAGCGTTTCATTGCAATGGTGTCGTCAAGTAATGTGTGCGTGTAAAACCTTGCATTCACTTGAACATGCAAGTGGAGACACCTTAGCCTAGACTGAGCCGTGTGCACAGGCGTCTCCACCTGAGCGACTTGACCAAATGAACGGTTCACTCGCCTGAGCATTCTCAAGTAAAGGCTAAAGGTAGCCTTTCGAAGCGAGCGTCTATAGCGACAGTGGCGAATGTGACGCCGCGACAGAGCGACAAATAGATGTTCTATGCAAATGTATGAAATTCTAGGGAACGACATTCGAACGCAGCGACACTGTCGCGGCGTTAGTAACGCGGCGTTGGTGGCACTAAAGACCAAAGCTAAAGACGCTGCGTCTGTGACGCTTAGTTCGAAAGGCTACCTTCAGGGTTCGAAATTATCAAGATAATTACGCTTCGTGATAATTATCGGATAATTATCAACAGTATAAGATACATTTGTCACATTGTTTTATAAGAAATTCTGATGTTACATAAAGAATGTTGCTTTATGTTTTCGGTTACTGATTGTTGTCATGTTATCCATCGCTAGTTGCATAAAGCGTTGTGGAAAATAGATAAATATTTTGAAGCTAGTTAACGAGTAATCGTTGTGAAGCTAAATAGATAGGTTTTAGAACTATCTATGTTAAATAACGTCAACAACTAGACGCAAGTGCAGAAAAACACATTCGAAAACTTCGAATACAGTTCACTTTCACTTGCGCATTTTTTTGTTATCATCAACCGATAAATTATCCATATGTTACTATCAAGATAATTATCGTGATAATTATCTTTTCGAACCCTGGCTACCTTTAAGCGTGCGTGTGACTCACCGCCGAGCTTGGTGGGCTCCGTGGAGGGTATGGGCTTGCCGAGCATGGTGTGCAGCTTGACGACCTTCTGGTGCTTGATGCCGCGCACGTGCGCCGCGTACGCGTCGGCGCCCGTGCACGTGACGTCACACAGCTCGCAGCGCAGGGCTGACGCGCCCGCTGCGCGCCCGCCCGCCGCCGCCGCGCCCGCTGCGGCTAGTTTGACAGCCGCTTCCTTCTTCTTATGCTTCTGGCCTTCCAGGTGCTCCTTGTACGTCTGTGGAGAGACACAAGTCAGAAGACCGAACACAATGCAAAAACAGCTATACTAAGTTGGCCGAAGTTAATCGAAGTGAATAATGTGGACACGCACTTCGCTTAGAGTCATCACGCCTCGCCTCAATCGATTTTAGAAAGTTATCGATATTTGCACCCGAGTTAAAAGGCTTGAAGTGCTACTCGCTCGACTAACTTCAGTACGCGTCGAGACATTCTTCTCTTCCTTAACAATTTAAACTGATTATAGATGATGAGATGAATTAAACGAGCGCACATAACATGACATTAGGCAACACGAAAATTACTATGAGGAGGGCAAAACTCTGTGGACTGTGCACCTGTGCCTGTGATAGTTAATGGAATAGAGCGAGAAAGTGGGCGAAGCGGATTCGCGGACGGTTTTTCCACATACGAAGCTAGACCACGAGACGAGACATAAAGATCTGGCGGCGGATAGCGACCGATTCGCCTGCGTTCGTTCGTTTTTTTTTTTGAAGGGACGCGCGCTCTTAGCTTGAGGAGCTTTTCCAGCTTCACCGGGCAGAGTGGCGAGTACAGAAGGTACTCTAGCCGTTTGGCGATCGTCGGTGGGCGTGCCGAAGAGGCCGAGTGTGGGCTCACTCTAGTGGGCCCGATCGAGGGGGACTACGGACGCGGCCTGAGGGCGCCACGCCGCCAGGCCGTGTCCGGGGGACGGATTGGGGTGCGTTCGTTCGTCCTCTGTTTTTCTACTCTATTTCAATGCCAATATTCTCACCTGCGGGCCAGCGCAGGAGATGCGGCACACGTCGCAGTAGTGCAGCTGCTGCGCCTTGGGCGGCGGCTTGGGCCGGCGCTGCTGGCCGGCGCCCACGCCGCTCTTGTTGTAGTTCTTCCAGCCGCTCCTGCCGCGAACACAATCATTAATCCGACATCTTTCGAAGCAAAGAAGAAGATTCTAGAAATGAGGTGGAGGAGGAGATTCCAGAAACGAAATATCTTTCACATTTAGTTACATTTCAGACTTGATAATGAAGAAAGTTAACTCTCCAAATTGTATTATTTATTTGTGATAATAATATTATAAAGAGGAAANCAGAAAATAATTGACCAGAATCGATCATAAATCAGTGTAAACTGTGAAGTAATATTTATAGTCTCAAAGTAAATAACTTTTATCTAAAAACTGAATAATGGAAACTATCATTTCAGTGTAAAAAAGTTATTAATTAGCTGTAATAAGAATAGAAATGTTTGATAGTAAAATAACTAATATTTTAGTTTTAAATATAATTTTTAGCACACATTTGTTTTAATATGATGCTCAACTCAAAAACACATGCATGAACAAACAGAAAATGTCATGCAATTAAAATATATCAAGAGAAAAAGAAAAGATTTACTACAGTAAATAAAAAAATCTTTGTCAGTTACTTCGTTACAAATTAGTAGTGAATGAATATGATGATTTTCATCTTATGTTGTTGTGTTGAACAATAATGTTGTGCATGATTTGTGTTAAATATGTGAAATATAGGAAGGCGATTGTGTAGTTAAGCATATGGTTAAACTAATATCAATGTAATTTGTCAATGCCAGTTAATATAAAAACATTCTATTAAATAAACAGTACCTTTAAAAGAATTACTGCTATTTTTTAGAATCAAATTCAAATTCAATAATTCAAATTAAAAAAAAATCAAATCAGAATAAGAAGAATCTATATAAAAAAAGTTACAGTAGCTTCTTCAAACGTACTGTAAATGATTGGTGACGACACCTTTACAAGTCACTGCAGTAGCATTCTGAGTGCTGCATTTACAAAACAGTTGATTTGAAATAAAACGTGACGTCACATTTCCGCGAGTGTATGCGAGTGACCAGGCACAAACACTATTAAAATAAAAAGCATTCTGGATGCAATTACAAAACGGTCGAATTTAAAAAAGCGTGACGTCATATTATTATGGTATCGTTCTATTGCAATGGTGTCTTCACGTAATGTGTGCGTGTAAAACCTTGTATTCACTTGAAATACAAGTGGAGACACCTTAGCAAACACTGAGCCTGAGTGCACAAGCGACTTGGCCAAATGAACGGTTCATTCGCCTGTGGCCTAATTCACGTATTTTGAGTCAAGATCTCGCTGACGTTCAGAAGTTGTCACATTGAAAAACAGTTTTAAATCCGTATTCACAAGGGTCATTTCGATAGAGCGATTACTCGATAGGATCGCATTCAGCGATTTGTTGTCGTTGAAGTTTTGTTACGTGAATAAGGCTACTGAGCATTTTCAAGTGGGCAAGCCTTGTCAAGGCTTAAGCGTGCGTGTCACTCACCGCCGAGCTTGGTGGGCTCCGTGGAGGGTATGGGCTTGCCGAGCATGGTGTGCAGCTTGACGACCTTCTGGTGCTTGATGCCGCGCACGTGCGCTGCGTACGCGTCGGCGCCCGTGCACGTGACGTCACACAGCTCGCAGCGAAGCGCTGAAGCGCCGGCCGCGCGCCCGCCCGCCGCCGCCGCGCCCGCTGCGGCTAGTTTGACGGCCGCTTCCTTCTTCTTGTGCTTCTGGCCTTCCAGGTGCTCCTTGTACGTCTGTGGAGAGAGACAAGTCAGAAGACCGAACACAATGCAAAAACAGCTATACTAGGTTGGGAGAAGTTAATTGAAGTGAATAATGTGGACACGCACTTCGCTTTGAGTCATCACGCGTTGCCTCAACCGATTTGCACCCGAATCAAAGGGCTCCAAAGTTGAAGATAAGTGTCTAACTACACTATCGACTAACTTCGTTCTTAGGAATTTGAACTTTGCTATAATGCGAGTGAGCATTTCATGGCAATTGGTAACAGGAAAACTCAATTATGATTTAAGTATTTGTGACGCTGGTCACTGGCTGCGCTGGCAAAACTGTGTGGACTGTCCATAGATGACGAGCTAAATAGTGGAGGGAAGCGAAATAGTAAGCGAAACAAGAGTTACGTTGTATTTTTCCACATGTAGAGATAGACCGCGAACACGCGACCTGTCATTTAGGTGATAATCACACTGCGCCGCGGTACGCGGGACGACAGATTTAACCATTGTATGCAAGTACCTCAGATTGTATAGAAAACACGCGCGGCACAACACACTGACAACGCGTCTGCGCGCAGAATTTTTTATATGAAATCACGCGGACCGCGGCGGAGCGCGGCGCAGTATGATAATCGCCTTAAGCTGCCGGTAGAGAACGATCGATTCGCCTACGCTCGTTTCTCCTGTCCGCTTTCCCGTTCCACTTTACCACTCCATTTCACTTCCAAAGCTCATTCAGTGTGCTCACTTGCGGGCCAGCGCAGGAGATGCGGCACACGTCGCAGTAGTGCAGCTGCTGCGCCTTGGGCGGCGGCTTGGGCCGGCGCTGCTGGCCGGCGCCCACGCCGCTCTTGTTGTAGTTCTTCCAGCCGCTCCTGCCGCGAACACAATCATTAAGGCCTCCACAGACCAAACGCGGGTCAGAAGCAGTGCGGGTCAGTTGCAGCGCAGTTTCAAAGCAGTTGCAATGCGGGCGGTTGCCAAAAATTTCAATATTCGAAAACGGCTTTCAACGCGCTGCTACCGCCCTGCGTCCGGTGTGTCATGCTAATATGGCCGCCATAGTAATACAACAGCGCGGGCAGTTGCAGTGCGGCGCGGTTGGAGCACGGGCCCGCGTTCAAATTTGGTGTGACACACTTTAAAGAGTTTCTTGTATTACAACTTGCGCGGGCCCGCATTCAAACTGCGCTGCTACTGCCCTGCGTTTGGTCTGCTCAAGGTTTTAATCCGAGATCTTTCTGAGCAGATCTGGATGAAGATTCCAGAAATGAGATGGGTTCAGAAACAAAATCAATTTCTTCTACAGAGAAGAAGGTCCCAGAAACAAAATAAATATCTTACACATTTAGTCACTTTTCAATATAATTTTGTAAATACTGACCCTCCGCCACCGGTCTTATTCTGCTGCGCAACGTACATGGTTGCTGCGTTGTACAGCGCCGTGTCGTACGCTGTGTTCCCGCGGTTTGTAGTCTCTGCAAAAGTGAGCCCGTATTAGTGCTGTTTGGTCATCCAATGAACAAAGAAACACTGTACTCGACGAGTGAGCAGCCTCACACAGGCTCGACGAACGTGTACTTAGACGTATCGATAGACTATTGACAGTCTATTGAGTCCGATCAACTGATAGTTTCGCATCACTATATCATAGCGCGATCATCAGTATGAAGCTTTGCCTTCTTTCTTTTTTTTTATTTCTTTAATATTATTACACATTCAAATTANTTTTCTCTGTTACCCGGCCTTAATGTGACTGACTGGTTTGTGCTGCTTCTTGCCTTCTCAGCACTGAATATTTCCATTTAATCCTGAAGCAGTGGTATTGTTAATACTGAGGTCACGTGTAAAAGTGCCTACTTGCAAAAATCAATGAGTTTTATGAGTTTTAGTTTTTTTTGTGTAGTGGGACGTCCACCCACAAGGTGGACCGACGACATCATAAAGGTAGCAGGAAAGCGCTGGACGCAAGCCGCTATCAACCGGGTAACATGGAAAGCATTGGGGGAGGCCTATGTTCAGCAGTGGACGTCCTATGGCTGAGATGATGATGATGATAGTATTTTTTATGTCTGCAGCCATGAGCAGGCGCGGATCCACCGTTGTGGGCACCTGTGGGCATGCCCACAACCCTAATTTGCTTGTTTTATTTATGATCTATTGATAAGATCGATAGGCTGATGATAAAAACGGCTGACTGATGAGCCTTTAAAAAATCGAGCGTGATTGAGCGTGAGTGAGTTCGTACTCCAATCCAACTCTCACTTTGCTAATTTTTAGTGGCTGTGCCCACAACCTTTTTTGAGGGCTGGATCCGCGCCTGGCCATGAGGTTGTGACGTTACATTTTTTTTATTGTAACATGTATAGTTCCAAAATACTGGACTGTCCTGTCGATGACATTGACAGTGGGGCGCCACCGTCAATACCGGATCGCTGGTTCAGATTTTTGCCATGTTGGAAACCATATAGTTGAACGATGGTAGCGCCCCCCTGTCATTGAGTTTGGCGGGACAGTTCAGCGTGGGTCATCTATACTCACGTTTAGCGGTCTGCGTAGCGGGCGCCGAGTAAGGCTGCGCGGGATAGGTAGTGGCGGGAGTGGTAGCGGTGTGCGCGTGAGAATGCGTGTGCGTATACACGCCGCCGTAGGCCTTCGCGCCGCCCCCGGCCCGCGCTCCGCCCTGCGGGGAAACAATACAGACTCGTCAACAAAATATGTACTAAAGCCTGGTCCGTGAGCACGTAGAATCCCGTCCAATGACCCCAAGCTGCCCATCCTTGTCGCTCGCACGTAATTATGTTGCTGTCGCGCTCGCACACTCACTGCGGGCGCGCGTCGCACAGTCGCGACAGCAATATAATTACGCGCGAGCGATAAGGATGGGTAGCTTGGGGTCATTGGACGGGATTCTACGTGCTCACGGACCAGGCTTTACCAGAGTAAAACCAGTCGTGGTTGCGCCGAATTTTGTCAGTGTGTCCGTGCGCGCCGCATGCGTATATTGGCGCGCTCACATACAAACCGCGCTCGGTGCGTTTCTAATTTCTATGAAGATTATCTACTCATTTGTATTTACTCTGGTATTACTCTTAACAGGTTTGCTGCCACTTCAAAAAAATATGATCAACTGGGAGGCCAAATATTGTTTTTTTTTTTATGAATCTACTAAAACGCGAGACCACACCGGAGTGTGGACGGCTTCGAGTGTGTACACCTAACCCCGAACCCGTGCGGGGTTGGCAGCAAACCTGTTAAATCAATTATTTAATTGGACATCATTAATTATCCTGAAGGATTAGCTTATTAGCAGTTTCCCGTAATCACTTACAATAAAATATTCCATTGAGTAACTGAAATCCAAAATTAGCAAAAATTAAATGCAATTTTTTTCTACTTAACAAATTTTTAGTGTATTGATGTGGTCATTAGCAGTTTCTCTATTTTTTTGTGAGTTTGTAGAGCAAAAATCAACCAACATGTTATTTGAGGCTACTCCAAAAAGTTGTTTACATAATTTCTGGTTTATGTCACCGTCGTTCCTTCATGCAGGCATCTCACTTTGTGTGAGAGGGATGGCAACATTCAAAACTTTGGATAACATTTTCGAAGTAACTCTAAAGCCCGCTCGCACACACACTGCGGCTGCGTCGCAGTCGCGACAGCAATATAATAACGCGCGAGCGATAAGGATAGCTTGAGGTCATTGGACGAAATTCTACGTGGTCGGCGAGCGGACTTTAAATGGCAATGCCAGATTTTGTATGGAAGGTGGCGTCGTTTTTTTTTCCGCGCGGCCATCGACCAAACTTTGTTTTTTGATTACAAATAGTGTAATAAACCAAACTTACTACGACATGTATACCTCTAAACTCAGTCTGAACTGAGTTACGAGCGTTAGAAGTTTGATGATTTACATACTAGATTTGCTTTTTGCGCGCAAGTTTTGTAAGAAATTGCAACAAAATATTCCGCTATTTTTTTATTGCGCTGATTCTACTCCACACACAAAACTTGCGCGCAAAAAGCAAATCTAGTATGTAAATCATCAAACTTCTAACGCTCGTAACTCAGTTCAGACTGAGTTTAGAGGTATACATGTCGTAGTAAGTTTGGTTTATTACACTATTTTGTAATCAAAAAACAAGGTTTGGTCGATGGCCGCGCGAAAAAAAAAGACGCCAATTTCCGGCATTGTCTTTTCATTACAGTTTGTAACTTGTAAGTTGAGTGACGGCACGTACCTGCGTATGCACCTGAGCGTAGGTGGCGGGCTTGGCGCCGGTGTCGTAGGCGGGCTGCTGCGGCGCCGCCCGTCGCAGTCGCGACAGCAATATAATTAGGCGCGAGCGGTAAGGATAGCTTGGGGTCATTGGACGAAATTCTATGTACTCGGCGACCGGACTTTACGTTTCATTACAGGTTGTAATTTTGTAAGTTGAGTGACGGCACGTACCTGCGTATGCACCTGAGCGTAGGTAGCGGGCGTGGAGTAGGCGGGCTTGGCGCCGGTGTCGTAGGCGGGCTGCTGCGGCGGCGCGGCGGGGTAGGCGGCGGCGGCCTGCTGGTAGTACGCCGACTTGGACGCGTCGTAGGCGGACGCCGCCGCCGCCGCCGCGTGCGCGTGCGCGTGAGCCGCTGCTGTCGGCAACACGCCTTGCTCTTTAATATCTACACTGTAAGCCTCGTTTTCTTCTAGAAGCGAGTTGATCGGCACAAAATGACCTTACTTTTAGACCGAAACCATTTCAAATGCACCATGGTTCATTATAATAATAATAAGCCTTTTTATTCTGAACTTGGTTACATAATAATTACAAAATATGTTAAATAATAAGATGTGTTATAAAATATCCCGAAGCTCAGTTTGCCTCTTGGCATAGGTCTCCTCCAATGATTTCCATTGGGACCTGTCACGTGCTACCCTTCTCCAATAGTGTCCAACTGTGAGTTTTAGGTCGTCTTCCCATCTTGTTTGTTGCCGACCTCTACTTCTCTTTCCATCCCTGGGATACCAGTCAGTAGGTATCCCAGGGATTGTTCATTACTAACACTGAAATCCATGAAGCTCTGAACACAAGAACTGTTAGGGAGGAGCTAAAGCTGACAGGGAAAAAATATAAAAGGCGCACTGTGATTCGTGTAGAACAAGCTAGCTGGACAAAAGTCATTGTTGAATTTCTGATTATCGTTTATAAAAAACGATAAACAACATCCCAGACATTAAGGATTCCACAATTTTTTACTTTGTTAATTACCTAGTCGTGAGTAATTAACATGGTAAGTGAGGATATGAGGATAGTGTAATTTTTAATTCCTAATTTTGCTCGACTTTCGACAACACCTGACATTATTTTTTACTATGGTGACCAAATATTTGTGTGATGGATTTTGAAGATAAGGGTAAGTACTTTTTATTTTCTGTACAATAAGGTGCATAATAATGCACATAGTTTTAAAAAGTATGGCGAAATGTTGACCTTTATATTTTTCTGAAAATTTTATGTTTGGAAGACTAGAAGTTGTATGCCCCCACTTGACCCCAGTCTGGAATTTATATATATTGTAGCTGTAACCCTCTAGTATTCAAATATACCAGTTTCAGTTTGCACACTTTTGCACAACAATTTTATTTTTTCAGATTAATAAAAAATCAAGTTTTTTGATTAATGATTAAAACATTGAAAAAGTGACNTATTTGGTGACAGATGGTGAATGAGGAGTATCCTGCTGGGGAGCTCCTTGAACATGTTATAACTGCATGGAACAAATCTGCTTATAGCTTGGGACTGATTGCAGATGAGCGCAAAAAAATAACTTTAGACCTCTATCACATTAGGCCCTATAAGGGCGTCAGAAGCGGGAAAGCAGCGGGCGCTTTTAAATTATAAAGAAGAGTGACAGTCTGTCATGAAATCTCATTATCAGCTGTTCGACTGTTGTGCTGCTAAAATCACCTAATGTGAAAGTGTACAAGTGAAGAATGTGAGATTCTTCTTACCAATCTTCAGCACTTTGGCAAGTAGCTGATCAGCAGTTGCTTGACAGCTGTATTGATGGGACGGACAGTATCATTCATAGAAAAACGTAAAAATTGCTTAATTTGATATTTTTTCCAGGATACTTGTTCAAAACGATTACCTACAAAGAGAAACTCATAATTTTAACATAACTTTGTTTTAGGCAGTGTAATAATTACAGTCAATTCATTAAAAAAACATTAAACAAATTATTTCATACTCAAATTCCTTTGGAAACACTTGACTTGAAAAACCAGTGCTCTCTAAATTGTCATTAATTTAGAATTCATTATGAAGAAAATTAATAAATCACAAAATAACAATAAAACACTAACAATCAGACCAAAAATTGCCACATGGTTCTAGAAAGTTTTTGTTTTTTCACAGTACATTAACTAAGGAATGCCTAAACCCTGGTTACCTTTAATTCCAATGCTATTGTTCAAATTAATAGAAGTAGTCAGCTGAATTACATTAGTCTGACTATTATTAGCTGATCAGCAAATATTAGCACTTTGAACCTTATTTCAAACAGCTTATGGCTTGTGACGCCATTATGGTGTTTGTTTGTAGTAACTCACTTTGATAAAAGATTAGCAAAAGTATGTAGTCAGTAAGATGAATAACTATGCTGATTAGCCACTTTGACATGGGGTGGAATATTGCTGAATAATTGATTGCCTCTTAAAACTTGATATAATTACCAAATTATGTGGTATTTTTAACACATGTAATAGAAAAGATTCAAGGAAAAACAGTAGATTATTAAATGACTGTACTAATTGGCTAAAGTTAAAGACTTAAGTAAATGTAATAAATAGAGGTTAGTCTGTTTAAAATGTAATATGCCTAAGACTGATATCAGTATTCAGTACTAACAATGTAGCTACAATGTCAGCTACATTGTGTACAGATCAGCGTAATTATAGCACAAATAGCAGTTCTGTACACTGAAAGGCTATCAACCGTGAAGAGGGCGATACTGTTACGATGACTAATAGCTGTGGAAAACTGTTCAGTGAGCACAAATTCTACTAAAAACTGAGCAGCATCTGTGCAACAAATTATACTTTATATCGTAGCAAAAATCAAAAGTACTTTATCGAATTATGTAAAATCATGCCGCAGCATTATTGATTTTATGAGCAACTATTACCAGTTTCTCAACTCCCAAAATTTAGGCTCCAACTGTTTGTAAACGACTGATATCAATGTTTTGATAACATCTAACGTTATTTTGCTGATCATAGAAGGCTCAAAGAGACAGAACAAGACCAACCTTGAGTGGCGGCCGCGGCTTGATACGCAGTATCGTAACCTGTAGCAGCGGCGCGCTGAGTTCCGTAAGTTGCGGCTGTCGCCGCAGGGGCTACCGCGTAGCCTGTTTGCCCACCGTATGCTGCTCCAGCGGTTGCCGCGCTAAAAACACACTTTGATTATTCACCAGATTCACTATCACTGCAGAATCCTACGATCAATAATCGTCCAGACGCCATTTTGACTGGTACAAGAAACATGAGCACACTAGTCTGCCATCAATCACGATACACACTTTCAACATACAAACTTCTGATATAGTTACGGAATTAGGAATTTTAAAACTTACCCGTATTGGGTTCCTCCATGAGTAAACCCAAAATAATTATTTGCTGCCATCATTTACCAATTTTCCGCGTTGAAACAACAGACGCTTCAGGGCGGAAAAGACCGGTGTCATAGAGAAAAGTAATTGTCATTGGCCAATATGGCGGAGGGAGCATAGACAAAGCACGTACTTTTTTTTCTCGATACGATGCGTTCAACAACTTTCAAATTGAAAACAAAATATTAATGCTTTTGAAAAATAATTTAAAAAAATTCATTGCACAATCACAATCTCACCTCAATAAATATTTTGTGACTTGTAGTACATGCTATGCTATGCTAGTACATGTTATGTATTTTGGAAGCAAAAAATACATAATCTGAGAAAAACTAGGGATGTAACCAGGGACGGAACAGATTTTTGTTCCGAATCTATTTCCGATATAATCCTATCGACCGATATATCGGCATTGCCTAATAATACAATACAAAATACAACGGATATCAAACAGTAAAGCAATAGTAAGTAGTCTTTACAGTAAAGTATTTTGTATCTGTCGTTGTTAGGTAGTGTTTGTACTTTATTTAGCTTTGGCTGAGCGCGCTCTTCGTTTCACAAAAATCTACCTAAATTTAATATAAAATAAAACGGACTTTCTCTATTGAATATGTTTATTTAAAGAAAGCAAAAAAGCATATTTTAAATAATGTCTAATAGGCCATCAATATCGGAATCGGTTTATGNTGAGCGCGCTCTTCGTTTCACAAAAATCTACCTAAATTTAATATAAAATAAAACGGACTTTCTCTATTGAATATGTTTATTTAAAGAAAGCAAAAAAGCATATTTTAAATAATGTCTAATAGGCCATCAATATCGGAATCGGTTTATGGTATCGGTAGAATTATAATAGGTAAGTAGGTACCTACATCGTCATCTCTAGAGGTTGAGATTCTTATCAATTTGATTGTTAATAAAATAATCAGGAAATGTCTAACAGCCCTGACAATTTAATGCCAAACTGATCCAAATCCATACTATACCTTAATTAAACAAAAACTTTTGTATAAATAATTAGTAGTAAGGTAGATAAAAACAATTTCTATTAGCAGTGAACATTCAGTTCGTTCGTTAGTTTCAGCCAAAAGATGTCCACTGCTGGACTGAACATTCAGTAATAAAGAACAAATTAAGGAAATAATTAAATAACCCAAAAGACATATTTTTAAACTCTTATAATGTATATAAAATGCTTATAATATAAGGAAAACTCTTATGAATCTCCATGTTCGCCATTTGTTTATTATTTATTTAAAATTACGTAGTCCTGCTATCCCAATAGCAGCTTGAATATAATCGTTAAGATATTTAGTATAATAAGTGGAACTGAAAAACAAAAAAGAGAAAAATTATCACAACCTTATAATAAAAAAGTAAATAGGTAAAAAGCAAAAGTTGGAAAAAAGCAATATCATTATAAAAAATATTATAGTTTGACCCTGTATGGTGAGCTTGACAATTAAAAATTGCATCTCAAAGCAGTTATTATTTCATTTTTTCAGTAGTAGTGATCCTTGAGCACTGGCTTGTTATACTAATAACAGAAAGAGGCACTGTAGGTAACACTTACTTCTTGTTACTGTTCTTATTGAGCGAACCAGGTTTAATATTTGGAATTTAATTGATGACTGATCTTCAAATCCATGGTTTGGATGGTTGGCTCCCCAGCCCACTGAAACATTAGCGAAATAGACAGTCATGTTAATGTTTCCTTCACGATTAATTAAAATTCAAAAAGGTAAAAAAGTTTTAGGTTATTCCTCACTTTTTTGCATAAATCTCTCTTCGTGAAGTACACATACTGCATTGAGGCAAAGCAATGAAGCCTCGAATAAATTCCACAACGTAAGCATTATAGTAAATTAAGACAAATTTAAGGATGAACAACAATTTCAAACATTTGGAAAATTAAATTATTGTTATGACATTTGTTTTTTTGACAGCCGAACAACTCATCAGATGGTATGTTCCGATTCACGTCCTAACATTTTATTTTGAAAGAAAGGAAGAAAAAATATTTATTTTGTTATGCTGCTTTTACACTATGCGGAAATTAGCCGAGTCAAGTCAAAAAAACAGAGGAGTGGGGATGAAATTCATTCATAATTCATCCCCACTCCACTGTTTTTTTGACTTGACTTGGCTAAATTCCGCGCAGTGTAAACGCAGCATTATATTTTATCATAAATTTTGTCTGCCAGCCGCCACCTGTGGGGGTTTTTACCCGACTGCGCCAGAAGGAGGGTTATCAAAGATGTCCCTTAGTTGTAGTAAAATGTCCCGACACAGCCCCCGCCCGGCCCTCTCAATATTGTGGGTTACGAACGACGGGTTGCCTGACAGGCCCGCCGTGTTGACCACAGTGTTGACGAAATCTGCCGCGCACGCGCCGGACTGATATAGGTGACCCACGCTGAACTGTCCCACCAAACTCAATGACAGGGGGGCGCTACCATCGTTCAACTATATGGCTTCCAACATGGCAAAAATCGGAACCAGCGATCCGGTATTGACGGTGGCGCCCCGCTGTCAGTGTCATCGATAGGACAGTTCAGTATTTTGGAACTATACCCCTGCCCCTACCCCTGCCTACCTCCTACTAAAAGGCGTTTCCCTATCCGCAACCCAGAGACGCATCACCCAAAATTGCATTGTGTTCAATGAGTGTTAAATTTTAATGACGTGTTGTTGTTGTTCTTGTTGATGGCCTTAACCACGGCCTTAACTCTCGTTGCGCAACCTTTATCTAAGAAAAATAAAACTGAAAACTTGACTGTATGACTTATTGCATTTGCCTGAAGTCAAATAGAACTGAAAAAAAAGAAAAATGAAATGTCATTAATGTCATATTCTCACGTCAGTTACGACAGTAAACGTCAGGCTTGGACACAGGTTTGGACGGGTATGGAAACTTCCATACAACGGTCATCGAAGTGAAACTTGCTTCCAAACAGCGACATCGGTGAATAAATTCAAATACTTTTTACCTACCCTAAAACGCTCTAGATGTCGCTGCTCCTGTTTCCTTCATATTTTCATTTTTTTCTTAATTAAAATAATTTGAGAATATTGTTAATTACAATGTGAAAACTTTTTTTAAATGAAATTAATTTGTTTTAATTTAAAACTGAACATTGACATTTTTGTTATAATTTACATAATAGAGTAGTAGAAATTACTATTTAACATATGGCAACATTGTTTTTCCTCCAAAATGGCCGGTGTTGTTTTTGTTATGTTAAATGCATTCTTGTTTTCTTAGCCATCATTTAAGTTTTCTGTGGCCCTATTAAAGTATTGAAGAGTCGTCGAGTCAAATTCAAGTTCATTCCTTCGTACCTGCTGCTGTTCTGGTTCATCGGAGTTTTGTTCGTTCCTTCGTGAATCGCGAAGAAACTTTCTGTTATGTTCACAAGTGATCTGAGTTTTCTCAATGTGCAAATGCTTTTTTAGTGTTGTTGAAAACTTTGCGAAAAGACGCTTTTGGTGTTATAATATTATAATGTGTGTTCATAAATAAAGTAAAATTATTAAATTCAAAAGTTTTTGTTTACTTATTTGCATTTCCATGTGCAATGTAGAATTTTTCCAAATCCATTGTTTTGAAAATAATACAATACGTACACCATAAAGATAAATATTTTCAAAATAATGGATTTGAAAAAAATCTACATTGTACATCATAAAAACAATAATTCTTTGAAGGTTATGAGGGCCTATGTGTGCGTGAACTGTGTGTATGTGTGCGTGGACTTTATGTATGTATGTGTGCGTGTACTATGTATGTATGTGAGCGTTACGTACGTAGGTTAAGTACAGAGAATTTAACACCAGGCTGTCAATTAGTAGGCTCAAAAATTTGACAGAGAGGGTTCTCTATTTCCTATGTATTACTTTTCTCTATGGGTTTGGACTTGGACATGGACAATCTCAATCAGTCGCGCGCTTTAGACATACTCTCTAATCTTCTGTGGTCCAAACACCAAGTATTCTTTGCCAAACACAGTTACTGTTGTGAAGTTCACAACAGTAACTGTGTTTGGCAAAGAACTGTGTTCACAATGTGAACACAGTCCAAAACCCCCCCAACGAGAATCATAAAATCACAAACAAAATACCAAAACACGAAAAATAACAAGGTAATCAATAGTCTATTTAACATATATTATTACTAGTAGAATACAAGAAATAAAGAAGTAATAACATTCTGTGATAATTGGGTATAAACATTAGCTTATCAATAAAAACATGGAGTGTGAAGATATTGATAGTTCAGAAGTAAATTGCCTCAGAAAGGAAATAGAGGATGATTCTAACCGGCCATTTAATAATGAACCAAGCACGTCTAGAGCCGAATGCCAAAGGATCTCATTGAATGGTGCAACAACCAGTGAATGTACTTCAACGCAAACTGAGCCTGTTATTCCTGATACAGCCCATCCTCAGTCACCCAATCCAAGCGAGTCGAAAGAAAACATTGAAGATCATGAAATGAAAGAATCAATTGAAAGTAAGAAACCAAGCTTATCCGACCTATATAGCGTTTTAGGGGGACCGATTGCCGACGACTTCAAGCTAAAAGAGCCTAACAGCTATTATACCTCAGTGACAGGTCCTACTTTTTACCATCTCAAAGGTCATTTAACAACCAAACCAATATTATCAAAAAATCTCGCAGAACAATTTGATTCTTTACCAATCTTTGGGTCACCAGATACAAAGAGTGATCTGAATCAGTTTTATGATGAAAAAATTAGAGCTTTTGTGGGAGACGATCTTAATGATGAAGACTTTGAAATGCTTTCTAAGTATTGCAGGTAATATTTTAGTCTTATTTTACTGTTATATCAAACATATTTTGGTTTATAACTAATAACTTTATTGCATACTTTTCAGCCCGGAGCATTTAAAGACAGGTACAGAACTACTTATGCCGTTGGCAGCCCCGAAAAATGGACTTCTCCCGAATGACAGTGAAGAAAAGTTGAATATAATAAAGTCCTCAATAGAAAACTGCGACACTAAACTGTGTATTCACAAAAAGCTTACGCTGCGAATTGAGAAAGATCTTGGAAACCACTATAACAAGAAACTGAAATACAGGGGCATTCGGATCATCCCTCTTGCACCTGACGTATGTTATTAAATTAATATTATTTTTCCAACAATATTAGTAATAGTCCAGTTGGCCCCTTTATTTATTTATTTAATAGGTCAACCAATAAGATATACACTAAAACAATCTTTACATACAAAGTTTTTGAGCTTATCTAATTAATTAATGTTTGGGTTTTGTATTTGGTTTAAATTATTAAGAAATCTGATGTCAGCCTGAAACCAGTTAATGTTGGCTACTGTTAAATCATAAATTAATATTTTAATTTGTTAATAAAACATAATGGATAATCTTTTTTTACAAGCAGCTTGGACTTGGGCAATTAGTAAGTAATAATTTTTGAGAATGCAAAAAAAATATTTTGGATATTCTAGTAATTGAATCATATATTGCATTATTAACTTGGCTTTAAAATTCTTTCAGGATTGTAAGCAACCTGCAAATGAGACAGATCAAGACTTAGTCCCTGGTAAGGACTTGTTATTCAGAGTGAGAATATACCGGCCGTATGACTACAACATAAAATACTTTAGGGTAAGTGGGGATTTCATTAATTAAAATTCATACTTCTCAAGAGTGTTTGTGAGTGGAGAATAGAATAAAGTGTTGGTTATACCACAGAAGGACCACTGCTCATTATTGTTTTGGTGGTGGATGGTGGTTGAACCATGAAAACAATATTGAGCAGTGGTCCTTCTGATAGCTCAATGGGTAATACAATTTTATACGGCTATTTGAAAAGCTAAATTACCTGTGATACAGTTGAACTAAGCAGTAGAACTATAGGCAGAGGGCTAATAAACCTAAATTTTTCACATGCAAGCAAGGGGTAACATCTATCATTCTTCATTATATCATTTAGTCAACTCAAGTCTCATTCCACTTGGTCCCACTTTATAACTCGTCTCACTTGAGACAAATCAAGTTGGCCTCAACGAGTATTGCCAACATCAAAAGTAGTAAAGTAAAGTAAAAAATGTTTTATTTGACAAAAAGAGCGACATCACATTTACATAAATTACAAAAAGAAGAAACATTGTGCCCTGCTGTCAAATAGGGGCCCGCTCAGCATTAATCGGGGCATGCCCCCTCTACACCGATTTTCAGCGGGTCCCTTGACGTTGCTGCGCCCTACCGCCGAAGGAGAAGCACTCCGTAAAGTACCTGTCCGTCGGCGGGAACACGCAATAAGGGGGCGGCAAAATTATGTACCCAAAAAAGAAGTTAAGTAAGTATCATTATGTGTCCAGGGCCGCTCCCGGCACGCGGTTTTCGTGTGCGACGTGGTGCTACCGGGCCGGGCCGCGCTGACGGCGCTGCGGGACCGCTTCGTGTGCCCCAACGACGTCGGCATGCGCCTCGACGTGTCCGAGGCGCCCGACGTGCCGCCCGCCACCAACGCCAAGGTAGGCTCGCAACAGAAATAATTTGGAACCATGGCAAAATTCAGGTCTATTCCACTTTGATCACCTGGCTTTGATGACCCAGGTGATCAAAGTCCACTTCCAGCGACAATTTAGTGTACTTTGATCACCCTTGATCACCCAGGACATCATATCACCCACGGATATGATGTCCTGGGTGATCAAAGTGGACTCCAGTTAAATTATTATTTTAGTGTCCTTTGATCACCTACATACAAATCACATCTCCTCTTATACTAAATGTACGGACAAACATTGTTTAGGTAAGTAACGCTTTAAAATATTTCATGCGGCATAAAAAAAATTGTCTATACCTATTAAGAAAATGTTTGTACTTACAACAATTGGTCANTAGTGTCCTTTGATCACCTACATACAAATCACATCTCCTCTTATACTAAATGTACGGACAAACATTGTTTAGGTAAGTAACGCTTTAAAATATTTCATGCGGCATAAAAAAAATTGTCTATACCTATTAAGAAAATGTTTGTACTTACAACAATTGGTCATGACGTCTATTCAGAGGAGGTGTGAATTGTATGTAGGTGATCAAAGGACACTAAAATAATAATTTAACTGGAGTCCACTTTGATCACCCAGGACATCATATCCGTGGGTGATCAAAGTACACTAAATTGTCGCTGGAAGTGGACTTTGATCACCTGGGTCATCAAAGCCAGGTGATCAAAGTGGAATAGACCAAAAATTCAGCGCACCTCACCGCTAATCCACCCACACTACATTTTTAATGTGTCCGCATACGTATTGGCGCGCTCACATACAAACCGCGCTCGGGAGTTTCAATGAAGATGACCTACTCATTTGTATTTACTCTGCTATTACCTTAACACTTAAGGACTCGCTAATGGGTCTAACGGACCCAGTTCTTAATTTTTTGTGTAATAACTTTTAAAGTTTGACGTTTGCGATGTTTTCGCTCTTAGTACCTTTCCCCGACATTGTAACACAGCCAATAGCGGTCATAATCATCAAATAGCCCACTGCATGTGATTGCTACAGACGAAAAATGTGTTTTTGAGTCCACTGGACCCGGTAAACAAGTTGTTTTTTTTAATGTTTTATACTAATTTCTCATTAATTGTTAATAGGCATAAGTAAGCAAACCATAGTAGTTTACGAAATAAACAAGGTATTTTTTTTAATAATGAATTACAGAAATTTTCAAAAATAACCTTCATTTTACCAAAAAACCTTAAATTTTTTAAATAAGTTGTTATTTTAGAAAAAGGCAATAAATATGACTATGTGGTTTATTATTTTGTCTTTGTTTATATCATATTTTCCTTCTAATAAAGTAGTTTTCACTTTTATTAAGAGTTTTTGAAAAATACATAGGATTTTACATACTGGGTCCAGCGCACCCGGTAGCGAGTATGACTGTTACAAATTAAGGCGCGAGTCCTCAAGTGTTAACCGTTGATATACAAAGTGTATAGGACGCAACTAATTTGAAGAACTTTAGGTAAATGGGATTTTGTATAAAAATAATGTCGACGGCTAGTTCTCGATTGACTGATGAAAGAAGTGGCATTCTTTGGAGGTCACTTACGTCTTTGTTGTCATCGTAACTGATAATGATTAAGAAAATAACTTCCATACCATGCTAGAACGGGATAGACGCGTGTTTTATCCCGTTCCATCGTCCTGCAGTAAACGTAGATATTTATAGTAGTGTTATTTGTTTTCTCATTTGCTCAAAAAAACTCTAGTTCAGCAGCATTTTTGCTGGTTCTGTGTTCGGTTACTGCCCCTTGCTATCAATAGTAAAGGCTTCCACAGACCAAACGCGGATCAGTTGCAGCGCGGCTGAGGCACACTAAAAGCAGCGCAGTTTCGAAGCAGTTGCAACGCGGGCGGTTGTCAAAAATTTAAATATTCGAAAACCGCTTTCAACGCGCTGCTACCGCCCTGCGTCCGGTGTGTCATGCTAATATGATCGTCATAGTAATACAACAGCGCGGGCCCGCGCTCGCGCCGCTTCTGTCCCGCACCCGCGCCGCCTCGTTTGTCATTCGGCAGTTGCAGTGCGGCGCGGTTGGAGCGCGGGCCCGCGTTCAAACTGCGCTGCTACTGCGCCGCGTTTGGTCTGCCCAAGGCTTAAAAAAACATCGCTCTGCATTCCAGGACGTGTTCCCATCGGGCTTCCTGTTCATCAACAACGTGTTCTACGTGGACACACGGCCGGGCTGCGTGGATCACGCGGCGGGGCTTCGCGAGTGGGCGCGCCGCCGCGGGCTCGGGGACTTCCCCTCGCGCGATNTACATGACAAAATGAAAGAATCAATTGAAAGTAAGAAACCAAGCTTATCCGACCTATATAGCGTTTTAGGAGGACCGATTGCCGACGACTTCAAGCTAAAAGAGCCTAACAGCTATTATACCTCAGTGACAGGTCCTACTTTTTACCATCTCAAAGGTCATTTAACAACCAAACCAATATTATCAAAAAATCTCGCAGAACAATTTGATTCTTTACCAATCTTTGGGTCACCAGATACAAAGAGTGATCTGAATCAGTTTTATGATGAAAAAATTAGAGCTTTTGTGGGAGACGATCTTAATGATGAAGACTTTGAAATGCTTTCTAAGTATTGCAGGTAATATTTTAGTCTTATTTTACTGTTATATCAAACATATTTTGGTTTATAACTAATAACTTTATTGCATACTTTTCAGCCCGGAGCATTTAAAGACAGGTACAGAATTACTTATGCCGTTGGCAGCCCCGAAAAATGGACTTCTCCCGAATGACAGTGAAGAAAAGTTGAATATAATAAAGTCTTCAATTGAAAATTGCGACACTAAACTGTGTATTCACAAGAAGCTTACGCTGCGAATTGAGAAAGATCTTGGAAACCACTATAACAAGAAACTGAAATACAGGGGCATTCGGATCATCCCTCTTGCACCTGACGTAAGTTATTTAATTAATATTATTTTTCCAACAATATAAGTAATAGTCCTGTTGGCCCCTTTATTTATTTATTTAATAGGACAACCAACAAGACACACTAAAACAATCTTTACATACAAAGTTTTTGAACTTATCTAATTAATTAATGTTTGGGTTTTGTATCTGGTTTAAATTATTAAGAAATCTGATGTCAGCCTGAAGCCAGTTAATGTTGGCTACTGTTAAATAATAAATTAATATTTTAATTTGTTAATAAAACATAATGGATATCTTTTTTTACAAGCAGCTTGGACTTGGACAATTAGTAAGTAAGAATATTTTGAGAATGTAAAGAAAATATATTTTGAGTATTCTAGTCTGCTAAGATACGACCTGCAAGCTTTCAAGAGGAGAGCGTATCTTTATCTTAAAGGCCGGCAACGCACCTGTAACGCCCCTGGGTCTGCGGGTGTCTATGGGCGACGGTAATCACTTACCATCAGGTGATCCGTCTGCTCGTTTGCCTCCTATCACATTAAAAAAAAAGTCAGTGGCGGATTACAGTTTTGCCGCCCGTAGGCTAGGGTGGGGCTGGATCTTTATTTAACTTTTATCTTCTGAAATCGAGTAAGCGTCATCTGAAATCTGCCGCCCCTAGGACGCGGCCTATACGGCCTATTGACAGCTCCAGGACTGATTCTAGTAATTGAATCATATATTGCATACATAACTTAGCTTTAAAATTCTTTCAGGATTGTAAACAACCTGCAAATGAGACGGATCAAGACTTAGTCCCCGGCAAGGACTTGTTATTCAGAGTGAGAATATACAGGCCGTATGACTACAACATAAAATATTTTAGGGTAAGTGGGGATTTCATTAATTAAATTTCATACTTCTCAAGAGGTGTTTGTGAGTGGAGAATAGAATAAACTGTTGGTTGAAATTTTACAATAAATATCTGATATTCGAAAACGAACCCTGGGTTGAACCATGAAAACAACAATGGGCAGTGGTCCTGCTGATAGAATTTTATATGGCTTAGTTGTACCACTGAAAAGTTAAATTAACCTGGATACATTTGAATTAGGCAGTAGGACCACAGGCAGAGGGCTAATAAACCTAAATTTTAGAGATTAAACAATTCTAAATATGTTAATTCAATAAGCACATGCAAGCAAGGGGTATAATTTATCATTCTTCATTATATCATTTAGTTAACTCAAGTCTCATTCCACATGGTTCCACTTTATAACTCGTCTCACTTGAAACTTGTAAATGGCACAAATCAAGTTGGCCTCAACCAGTATTGCCAACATCAAAAATGAAGAAGTACTACCCGTTTGTGCTAAGTTTGCCGGTCCGTGGAATGTACGTCCTCTCCCCCAACTGCGATTAAACGCAATTAGTTAGTGATTAATAATTTGGTGACCTGTAATACAGATTTTCTTAAAATCTACAATAGGCACCAGCTCTCACAATGCAATCTAACTCTAGTTTAACAGATATATTATAAGAAATGTTTTTCATAATTTATGTTGTGAGAGAAATAAATAAATTATTATTATTATTATTAACGCAATTAATGTGTCTTATTTTACGCCAATACGCAATATTTATCAATATTAAATATAATAAAAAATATTTTCAATAAATAAAAAATATTTTCCATATAGTTTACTATAGTTATACCTTTACGAAAACAACATCGTTGGTAATGAGTCAGAAGGAATAAAAAAAGGAAACAGTAAAAATGTGAACACCAAAACACAAGAAAAAGAAATGATTGCAAATAATTTAAATAAGTTGGTATTAGTTTGTACTTATTACTATCATAATTATGATACCTTTATAATACTATGTACCTGTTTTGTCTAATAGTTGATTAAAGTAAGTAATTAAGAATTACTCATTGTTTTATTCCTAAAACCAATATTTACCAGCTGACAGGGTGAAACCTAGCATATACGGAATTCGAATGGTAAAAGCTCGAAAAAATCGGCGTATTTTCAGAAATACTTACATTTACCAACTCATGTCGGTAAATCCTAAGACTTACACTTAAATCTTAAGATTAACCGTAGTTCGAGCTTTTACAGTAACATAGACACTTCTTTTCGGTGCAGTCCTGTTGTCCCCCCTGCTTGGCCCCCCTGGGGGAGCCAACAGGATTTCGAAATCCTGTTGTCCCCCCTGGCTAGGGGAGACAACAGGACTAGATTTTTAATCAATTATTTGAGGACTGTTGTCCCCCCTGGCAAAAGTGATATAAAAGCCATAAATTTTTATAACATTTAAGAAGGACTGGAGTACCTGAACCTGAATGAATGCCAAACTGAATACCTAAACGTATGTCAAATAATAATATAATTAACATTTGGATAACGAAAAAAATATAAGTTCTTGGTACCGGTACTATTTTAGACTATTTCAAAATCTGCTTTACTTGCTTTTAACATCGTTTTGAATTATCCCTACTGAATAATATTATAAATGCGAAAGTAACTTTATCTGTCTGTTTGTTACGAATTCACGCCTAAACCATTGAACCGATTTTGATATTTAGATAGTTTTGAGTCCTCGGAAAAGTCGTTAGACAGTTTTTATCCCGGTTTTTGAAACAGTGATGCGCTCTATATTTTTTCTGTGACAGACAAAATTTTACACAGACAAAGCCGTAGGCAAAAGCTAAGAAGGTACCTCTATTATTTTTTTTTATTTATTTAAAATCTTTATTGCACACATAAAAACAGTGGTACAACAGGCGAGCTTAATGCCATGTGGCATTCTCTTCCAGCTAACCAGAAAATTAGACAAAACAGAGAATTTAAGTAGGCGGTGCAAAATAGTACAAATACAAAAAAACTTATACTAATATAATACATAAAATATTATAATATATTAATACAAAATATACAGGGTGGAAACGATAAGTGATCTCACTCGATTATTTCTAAACTATATAAGATATCGAAAAACTGGTTATTGATCCTGAAAGTGCTTCACGAGCTCTTTCAAACGGTATCAGTAATAGGTTACAGAACTAACTGGATCTATCCAAAAATTCAATGTTTTCAGGCTCCATACTAAATGTATGCCAGCCACACAATATTAGAAGTGTTATTTTTTTTTATTCAATAATAAACACAAATTGAACTCTAAATTGCATTATTCTTTAAAATTGTTCATTAAAAACATTGGTTTTAGGCTTTTACTTGCTATAATATTATCAAGACATGAGTGCCATGACTGTGGCAGTACTAAATGTATGGAAGCTGGAAATATTGAATTTTCGGATAGATTCAGTTTATTTTGTAACCTATTATTGGTGCCATTGGATAGAGCTCGTGGAGCACTTTCAGGATCAGTAACCAGTTTTTGGATATCTTGTATAGTTTTTAATATTATGTGGTTTTACTAAATGTATGGAAGCCGGAAACATTGAATTTTCGGATAGATCCCGTTTATTTGGTAACCTATTATTGGTACCGTTGGATAGAGCTTGTAAAGCACTTTCAGAATCAGTAACCAGTTTTTGGATATCTTGTATAGTTTAGAAATAATCGAGTGAGATCACTTATCGTTTCCACCCTGTATATAAAAGAAAGTCGTGTTAGTTACTCCACTTATAACTCGAGAACGGCTGAACCGATTTAGCTGAAAATTGTCAGGGAGGTAGTTTAGAGCCAGGAGAAGGACATAGGATACTTTTTATCCCGTTCGAAATTAAAAAAAGTCTGCTTATTTATTGCCATTAAGGCGGAACAAAGTTCGCCGGGTCAGCTAGTTACATATGAAAGAGATAACGTGGCGGCCGGCACGTCCAGCCGGTTCGTCGGTGGTTGATAGGCGACAGTGACCATCTCAGATCATAGAAGGGAATAGATGTGAAACGGGGGCGTGGCGCGTGTCTCCGCGATATGCCCAGAAACGAACATCGTCCGCGACGCCAGGTTAGTCGCGATTCAGTCGTACTGAGGAAATGTTCTCCGATATTGTTGGATAATGCGTCGTAACGTGCAATAACATAAGTGAAACGAAGAACTACAGGAACAATGAAGTCATTTACCACATGTAAGTATTGCAAATCCATTGGTATTTTGCTTATAAATAAAAAAAACTAAACATTTTTACGAACGAATTCAGTGCCGTGACATTTACTGCGATATCGAAATTAGTGGTGATAAAAATTCAAACACGTTGTACATTGACGATTTAGTTAGCAACCACTTTATTATCCTTATTATCCCTGTTACCAAGTACAAGTGCAGGCAGAGCAGGTAGTAAAGGCGCGCGCGCACGGGTGACTTTTGTCACAGTATGTCAACTACTAATTACTGTCATAATGACAAAAGTTTCTGTGACTGACTGTACGGTAGTCAGTCACAGAAACTTGAATTTTGGGCACATTAGAATAATAATTTTTAACCAAGGTAGATAAAGTTAAAAACGGGACTATTTCCAAAAAACCAAAAATTGTCGACAATTACAGCAAGAAATTTACCACGTGTTATACCATTTTAGAATCCTTACTAAATGCGCCAAGTTATGACGTCACTTGCCACACTCGCGTAGTACATTTTTTTTTCAGTACAGTCAGTTTCAACTAGGAAAAATTTTTATTTTTTTGGGAATAATGTATTTTTTTCGTCCAAGCTGGAGCAGCTGGTTTTGTAATTTTGATAACAATTTAGAGAAGCATTATTCAGGGATACATAACAAAAAAAAAATTTGGAAAAAGTGAAGATTTGTAGCAACACGAGTAAAAGGACCGTCACCTGGAGTAGAATTTTTAGTTTTTTTTTAAATGCCTATTATTTTGAAAATATGCCACATAGATTTTTTTTTATATTTTTCTGATAACCAGCATAACTTGCCTCAACACCCAGTTTCGGCTTGACGTTACATTACGGGACACCCTGTATAAGTGTGCATAATTGCTATTTCTAAGTGACCTAGATTAGGTATGTCGTTGACATTAACATATGTGCGGTAACACGTACAATCATTACGTGTCCAGGGCCGCTCCCGGCACGCGGTTTTCGTGTGCGACGTGGTGTTGCCGGGCCGGGCCGCGCTGACGGCGCTGCGGGACCGCTTCGTGTGCCCCAACGACGTCGGCATGCGCCTCGACGTGTCCGAGGCGCCCGACGTGCCGCCCGCCACCAACGCCAAGGTAGGGCTGCTACAGAAAGAATTTGGAACCATGGCTATAAACATAACCATTGATATACAAAGTTTAGTGTACGCACTATGACCACGGGCTGAAAGACGTAGCGTGGGCAGGCCTCCTACTAGGTGGACCGACGATCTGGTAAAGGTCGCGGGAAGAGCCTGGATGCGGGCAGCGCAAGATCGTGCATTGTGGAAAACCTTGGAGGAGGCCTTTGTCCAGCAGTGGACGTCATGCCTTAGGTGTCGCTGTAACTGATAATAATTAAGAAAATAACTTGCATACAATAGATGCTGGAATGGGATAAATCGTGTTTCATTTCGTTCCATCGTGTTGCAGTAAACGTAGATAATTATTTATATTAGTGTTATTTGTTTTCTCGCTTGCTCAACAAAACCCTAGTTCAGCAGCATTTTTACTGGTTCTATGTTCGGTTACTGCCCCTTGCTATCAATAGGAAAGGCTTCCACAGACCAAACGCGGGTCAGTTGCAGCGCGGCTGAGGCACACTGAAAGCAGCGCAGTTTCAAAGCAGTTGCAACGCGGGCGGTTGTCAAAAATTTAAATATTCGAAAACCGCTTTCAACGCGCTGCTACCGCCCTGCGTCCGGTGTGTCATGCTAATATGACCGTCATAGTAATACAACAGCGCGGACCCGCGTTCGCGCCGCTTCTGTCTCGCACCCGCGCCGCCTCGTTTGTCATTCGGCAGTTGCAGTGCGGCGCGGTTGGAGCGCGGGCCCGCGTTCAAACTGCGCTGCTACTGCGCCGCGTTTGGTCTGCCCAAGGCTTAAAAAAACATCGCTCTGTATTCCAGGACGTGTTCCCATCGGGCTTCCTGTTCATCAACAACGTGTTCTACGTGGACACGCGGCCGGGCTGCGTGGACCACGCGGCGGGGCTGCGCGAGTGGGCGCGCCGCCGCGGGCTCGGGGACTTCCCCTCGCGCGACATGTGCCAGGCCGCCGTCGGGGACATCGTCATGCGGCTGGGGTACCCGGAGGTGACTACACTGGGCCGTGTCCCCTCGGCTCCTGCTCATCACGTGTGCTAGCGGGCCCGGGGACTTCCCCTCGCGCGACATGTGCCAGGCCGCCGTCGGGGACATCGTCATGCGGCTGGGGTACCCGGAGGTGACTACACTGGGCCGTGTCCCCTCGGCTCCTGCTCATCACGTGTGCTAGCGGGCCCGGGGACTTCCCCTCGCGCGACATGTGCCAGGCCGCCGTCGGGGACATCGTCATGCGGCTGGGGTACCCGGAGGTGACTACACTGGGCCGTGTCCCCTCGGCTCCTGCTCATCACGTGTGCTAGCGGGCCCGGGGACTTCCCCTCGCGCGACATGTGCCAGGCCGCCGTCGGGGACATCGTCATGCGGCTGGGGTACCCGGAGGTGACTACACTGGGCCGTGTCCCCTCGGCTCCTGCTCATCACGTGTGCTAGCGGGCCCGGGGACTTCCCCTCGCGCGACATGTGCCAGGCCGCCGTCGGGGACATCGTCATGCGGCTGGGGTACCCGGAGGTGACTACACTGGGCCGTGTCCCCTCGGCTCCTGCTCATCACGTGTGCTAGCGGGCCCGGGGACTTCCCCTCGCGCGACATGTGCCAGGCCGCCGTCGGGGACATCGTCATGCGGCTGGGGTACCCGGAGGTGACTACACTGGGCCGTGTCCCCTCGGCTCCTGCTCATCACGTGTGCTAGCGGGCCCGGGGACTTCCCCTCGCGCGACATGTGCCAGGCCGCCGTCGGGGACATCGTCATGCGGCTGGGGTACCCGGAGGTGACTGCACTGGGCCGTGTCCCCGCCGGCTCTTGCTCATCAACGCATAGTTGTACCTAGCTTTTAAGCCTAGCAGACTGACCTAATGGGGCAGTCAAGCTAGATTGTGTGTCAGGCGGGGCAGTCTGGTGGTCAGATTTTTAGGCGAAGCAGTCGGGCCAGTTTCTGAGCCAGAAGGAGGAGGCAGCCTGACCTGACAGAAAGGGGAGGTGGCAGTCTGGTCAGCGTCTGTGCCCGCCAGGGATGAGGGCAGTCTGGCCCAGAGAGGGCATCCGTTTTTTATAGTCCAACGACGGCGGGGCAAGATTAGAATCAGCGTTACTCTGATCTCGAGTCGGCCAGTCCGAAACCGACACTGTTGGGATATTGTCGCCTTAAAGATATGTACTATTCATGGTGCCCTTCTGGGTCTCTTCTCTGCCCCTTGACATAACACCTTAATCACTGCATATTGCGCTACAGCTAACTTACTCAAGCTTACTTTAAATTTCAGGTATACGTCCACCAAGGCAACTGCGAGCACCTGTTCACATTCTCCGAGATCCGTCTCCTCGGGCCCTCAGACCCGTCGCGCCTGAACTATTACCCTCGCAATACAGCCATATCGTCGCACCAGTCCGTATACTGCACCACTTGTGCAGAATTCTGTGCCAAATGGGTAGTATCAGGCTGCGACCGCGTTCCCTTCGACCCAGCCTTCTTCTGTGATACCTGCTTCAAACTGTACCTGTACCAGGACGGAGAAAAGATAGGCGATTTCAAAGCATACTCGTACAAGGTCAACGAACTGAGCGTGCTTAAGCCTCAGCCTTCTTGATCTGATTACGTTAGTTTAAGTTTTAAATATATGGCTAAATATATTTATTTTGTTTTATTTTTAACATACACAGTAGCTTTTCAAGTAATTATACAATCTCAGAAGGTTTACCGAGATAAGTAGGTTATTTGTGAATTCAGTTTACCTTTTATTATAAAAGCAAGCTGAAGGGGCAGGGCACATAGTACACAGAACTGACGGCCAATGGGGCAGCAAGGTTCTGGAATGGAGGCCGCGTACCGGAAAATGCAGCGTGGGACGTTTACCCACAAGGTGGACCGACTACAGCAGCAGGGAAGTGCTGGACGCAGGCCGCTACCAACCGGGCAACATGGAAAGCATTGGGGGAGGCCTATGTTCATCAGCGGACGTCCTATGGCTGAAATGATGATGATTTATTATAAAGGACGATTATGTAGACGTGCGATATAAAATCTACACAAAACTGGACCTTTCCTTCCTCATTGAAAACCGGGTTCGTTAAGATTCAAGGATGCATTATAATAGCCTGTATACCTTACCTACTTATCTCAAATCAAATATGCACTTACAAAAAATCTCTTGATCAGTAAAGATTACCGCGTAATATTTCTGTTGACAACTGCCAATCAAGAATCCTCAGGAATCAGGAAATATGAATTGGCGCGTCCCTGAGCTATAGTGGGAACGTAGAAATACCTGACCCTGACGTCAGCCTGCGTGCTGATTGATACGTTTATCAGATCGCCTGCTGATTGGCCAATTTGTAGTTCTCACACCGACGCTGGAATTGCTCGCATTGTGCAGACTTGAACAAAACACGATTTAAATAATCACATCCCTATTAGGATGCAGGAGTTGCAACATTTTGAACGTTGATTCTATGCGTTTGATACTGCAGTCGTGCGGCACTTTGTAGCTAGGTAGGCAATCTAATCTGCATCTGCCCACTCCACAATTCTTAAAAATCTATTTTTTTTGTAATCCACAACGAGGAAGCTCTTGGCCTGTATCTCACCTGATAACCCGGTAAGTGATGGTCACTGGTCAGGCCGAAGGTGGAAGCGAGCTTCAGCGGAAACCTCAACCACGGAGGAACTGGCTATCTTACCTCTAACTGCCGGAACACAACAATGCTGTTAACAGTGTTGTTAAGGCGACAGACTTAGGTAAGATGGTGGTAGCTAGCCAGGTAGTCTTGGAACAAGTCCTACCACCAACCAAACCGAACAGAAAAATCTGCCCCCACTGGGAATCGAACCCGGGACCTCTGCGTCTGAAGCAGGTGGTCTTAACACTAAACCACAGAGGCGGTTAATTGGAATATGGATGAAATATATGGATCACACAGGACTAAAAACGTCCTTGAGTAAGATGTTGGTTGTTATTATTTATTTGCCTTCACCGGCTTTCAAACACGCAACTGCAGTTGGCTTTCTAGTCTGACGCCAACCACCATTCCACAGCGACGCGACTTTACCTCTTTCGTCGTGTCAAGCTGCGGTTACTTACACCAGAACCCGATTATTATGTACACTTTGTTGCAGCTCAGTAGCATAATATGAGTAGGTACATAGCAGGTACCTTTGATTGAATAATGTGTTAACCACGATTAGGTTGTAGATAACTCATGCATTGGTCATCGGTACAAGTTGTTCTATTTATACCCCCGTCATCCATCATGCAATCCTTGCAGATTAACTCCAAGGCAGCTCCATCATCATTAGTGTCGGCTGATAGCCTATTCAGGTCTAGGATGTAGGTCGAAGTGCATTCATTGACTGCATTTATAGATAACACCAATTTAGTTGAAAACCACTCATGCTATTGCAACGCATTTTAACGCCTTTGGTAATAGTCAAGTAATAGACTTGAAGCATGGTGAAAAAAATTCTAATTTTATTATTTCTTGTTGTTACTACTTATTTAATGGGTTTTCATTGCACTGGCAACAGATACCTACTTAGATTTTAAANTTTTAAGCATAGCAGACAGGCGTAAGGCGGTCTAGCTAGATTGTGTGCCAGAGGCGGGGCAATCTGGTGGTCAGATTTTTAGTTGAAGTAAGGCCGTTTTCTGAGCCAGAAGAGGGAAGGGAGGGGGGGCAGCCTGACCTGTCAATGAGTCGGAAAGGGGAGATGGCAGTCTGGTCAGCTTCTGTGTCCACCAGAGGGATGAGGGCAATCTGGCCCAGAGAGGGTATCTGTTTTTTTATAGTCCAATGACGGCACCCTTCTGGGCCGCTTCTCTCCCATATGCCATAACAACTTAGTTACTGCATAATATTGCACTACAGCTAACTTACTCAAGCTTACTTTAATTTCAGGTATACGTCCACCAAGGCAACTGCGAGCACCTGTTCACATTCTCCGAGATCCGTCTCCTTGGGCCCGCAGACCCGTCGCGTCTGAACTATTACCCTCGCAATACAGCCATATCGTCGCACCAATCCGTATACTGCACCACTTGTGCAGAATTCTGTGCCAAATGGGTAGTATCAGGCTGCGACCGCGTTCCCTTCGACCCAGCCTTCTTCTGTGATACCTGCTTCAAACTGTACCTGTACCAGGACGGAGAAAAGATAGGCGATTTCAAAGCATACTCGTACAAGGTCAACGAACTGAGCGTGCTTAAGCCTCAGCCTTCTTGATCTGATTACGTTAGTTTAAGTTTTAAATATATGGTTAAATATTTAATTATTTTGTTTTATTTTTAACATACACAGTAGCTTTTCAAGTAATTATACAATCTCAGAAGGTATACTTAGATAAGTAGGTAATTTGTGAATTCAGTTTACCTTTTATTATAAAAGCAAGCTGAAGGGGCAGGGCACATAGTACACAGAACTGACGGCCGATGGGGCAGCAAGGTTCTAGAATTGAGGCCGCGTACCGAAATACGCGGCGTGTGACGTCCACGAACAAGGTAGACAGACGACATCATAAAGGTAGGGAAGCGCTGGATGCAGGCCTCTACCAATCTATCAACATGGAAAGCATTGGGGGAGGCCTATGTTCAGCAGAGGACGTCCTATGGCTGAAATGATGATGATGATGATTTATTAAATCTACACAAAACTGGACCTTTCCTTCCTCATTGAAAACGTTCGTTAAGATTCAATGATGCATTAATAGTTTGTATACCTTACCTACTTATCTCAAGTCAAATATGCACTTACAAACAAATCTCTGCATCAGTAAAGATTACCGCGTAATAATTCTGTTGACAACTGCCAATCAAGAATCCTCAGGAATCAGGAAATATGAATTGCCTCGTCCCTGAGCTATAGTGGGAACGTAGAAATACCTGACCCTGACGTCAGCCTGCGTGCTGATTGATACGGTTATCAGATCGCTTGCTGATTGGCCAATTTGTAGTTCTCACACCGACGCTGGAATTGCTCGCATTGTGCGGACTTGAACAAAACACGATTTAAATAATCACATCCCTATTAGGATGCAACATTTTGAACGTTGATTCTATGCATTTGATACTGCAATCGTAAACTCGTAGGTAGGCAATCTAATCTGCATCTGCCCACTCCACAATTCTTAAAAAAAATATTTTTTTTTGTAATCCACAACGAGGAAGCTCTTGGCCTGTATCTCACCTGATGGTAAGTGATGGTCAGGCCGAAGGTGGAAGCGAGCTTCACCCGGAATCCTCAACCACGGAACTGGTTATCTTACCTCTAACTGCCGGAACACAACAATGCTGTTAACATTGTTGTTAAGGCGACAGACTTAGGTAAGATGGTGGTAGCTAGCCAGGTAGTCTTGGAACAAGTCCTACCACCAACCAAACCGAACAGAAAAATCTGCCCCCACTGGGAATCGAACCCGGGACCTCTGCGTCTGAAGCAGGTGGTCTTAACACTAAACCACAGAGGCGGTTAATTGGAATATGCATGAAATCTATTGATCACACAGGACTAAAAACGACCTTGAGTAAGATGTTGATCGTTATTATTTATTTGCCTTCATCGGCATTCAAACACAACCGCAGTTGCCTTTGTAGTCTGACGCCAACCACCATTCCATAGCCAAGCGACTTTACCCTTATCGTCGTGTCAAGCTGCGGTTACACCAGAGCCTGATTCAATTTGTTGCAGCTCAGCTCAGTAGCATAATATGAGTAACAGCAGGCACCTTTGATTGAATAATGTGTTATCCACGATTAGGTTGTAGTAGATAACTCATGCATTGGTCATCGGTGCAAGTGGTCCTATTTATACCCCCGTCATCCATCATGCAATCCTTGCAGATTAACTCCAAGGCAGCTCCATCATCATTAGTGTCGGCTGATAGCTTATTCAGGTCTAGGATGCAGGTCGAAGTGAATTCATTGACTGCATTTATAGATAACACCAATTCAGTTGAAAACCGCTACCTACTGCAACGCATTTTAACGCCTATGGTTAGTCAAGTGATAGACTTGAAGCATGCTAGCATGGTGAACAAAAATCTAATTTTATTATTCCTTGTTGTTAGGTAGGTACTACTTAATGGGTTTTCATTGCACTGGTAACAAATACTTAGATTTTAAATGAAAATGTGAAGTGCCTACTAAAAAAATATGAGCAACAAACCGGACACAGAAACAATTGCAGCAACAAACGTAACTATGCAACTAATTTAAAAATAGTGTGGCGTAGGCGCAGGGAATGGGATAAAACAAGCCAATTGTTGAAT